TTCTCACATCATAGACGCCTAATTCCCCCTCTTTCTATGTCCTCATCAATTGTGTCTTAAAACCATTCAAAGAGTCAACGAAATCACTTGTAATGTGTAAAAAGGTTTTACTTGCAATTCTTATTTGTACATTGATGTGGGGGATAGTTTTTGACAATTACAAATTAATTTGCCCTCATTATTAGAGGTGACCATTCGGCTTATTCGATTAAAAACCGAATCGAATAAAAATCGAAATTTTAAAAACCGAACCGAAATCGAAATTTAGAAAAACAGAAATAACTGAAACCGGTCCAGTTAACTAGATTTTTTGTTTGATTTCGGTCAATTTTTCTTGCTCAACCCTAGAGATGGTCCCCCCTCCGCTCCCTATAGCTCCACCCTTATATTTTATTTGTCTATTACAAATCTCCTAAAATCCAAAGTATTATTATATATCAAAAATCTGATACAAAACTATGAAATTAATGAGATTTTAAAATGATTTTTGTTCAACAATTTTGAGTAAATGATGGAAAAAGACGAAAAACAATCAAAATACTTTGAGTGGTTGGCATGTATTAATTAATAAAGTTGACTCATAAATACCTTATTAAATAAAAAAGTGATAACCAATTAGGTGGATTTTCATCAGAATTCAGGGGTTTTAATTGGTCAAGAGTCGATCTTTTTCAGTAAATCCAGTATCGTGTCTTTCCGGTATCATACTACTGATCTAACTTCTAAGTATGTGGCTAATTCAGTTTCTACTTTCTAATAAAAACAGCCAATTCTATTAACTTTGCACCGAGTTTGAATGAAATTCATGTGATGTTTCGCATTCAAAACAAATTCCAATATTATTGAGTCCTAGTTTCTTCGAAAACCATGTTTTGGAGCTAAGAGATTTGTAGTCACCATTAATCTGACTATGATGCCAGAAAAAGCATGATACTAAAAAGTAGAAGATGCAACGACTAATCAGCCACCATCATAAAAGTCATAAACCAACAAGTGGATATTCATCAAATTCACATTCAATAATAATAATAATAATAATAATAATAATAATAATAGATATTCAACAAATCCTAAAGGGGTTCTTATTGGACCAAGTTTTTCCAGTATCTTCCGATTCTGAGTTCGAATCTCCTGCCCACATCTACTTACATAATATCTCAGACACACATGGAGAATATCTCATCCTCCTGCATAGTATTATGCATGGGGAGGTGTTTCCCGTGCACGCGGATAGGATATTGTGGATATACATGGGTAGAGTTATTATAAACAGGAGATCCAAAGTCTCCATCTCTAGCATCATAGATGGTGTTTGGAAGCATGGGCATTTTTTGGGACCGATTTTCAAGAAAAAACGTTCATGCTTCCAAGACCCATTTTTCACAAAAAAAAAAAGCGCTTTGATTTTGTTTGGGAGTGTTTCTGCCATGTAGGCAGTGAACAAACAATATGCTTTTTGGTAAGGTAATCATCACCGTTTTTCATGTATGTGCTGAGGTAAGCACCACATAGGATACATGTAATCACCAATCAGTCAACCGCTAGGGGCAACGGTTCACCAATGCATGAAACGCCAAATTTGACGTTTCATACATCGGTGGGGTCCTGATTTACAAGGCATGCCCATGGTTCAAGCGTTTTTTTCCAAAAAATGCGTAAACCAAACAATCATATATATGGGTGTTTGTTGAAACGCCCATGTGAATCCAACATGACACCGTTTTTCAGAAAAAAAAAAAAAAAAAAGCCACGGTTCCAAACATCCCCATATAGTTGTTGCCTATGATGAAAGGATATGATAATTTTGTACTTATCAATCATTTCTAATTTTATATGGTTTAGTATAATAACAAACATACACCCGTTTATAATCAGGTTAGGTTTTGTCCGCCCATAGGGAATGATGTGGGCAGCCAGATTTTCTATAAATAAAAACCGTATAAATACTCTAATAGCATAGCATCCAACCACACATAAAGAATATCTCCCATACAAATTTATTTATATTTCCATCTCTTTCGATGGATGATAAAAAGAAACCTCGTATAATGATTTACCGACTTCTAAATTTGAGGAGAATCCACATTTGCTACAACCATGGCTGCATAAGATTCTTGTGACCATCATCCAATAAATTACAACACAGATATTCAACTAACCCATTTACAATTTCTCCAATTTGTTAATTGGCAAGAAGTGTGTAGCTCACATTTGTTACCACCACCATTTCTGCATTTACTTCCTCCACTGCAAATAAAACATATGTTGCACGATTTCCATTTATTATATTTTAAATTCAAATCACTTGGAGATCTACTTTTTGGTTTGTATTGCTATCAGGTTCGTGTTTTATTGGCCACGGGATCTGTTTTCAGTAAAAATGTCATACATGCTGATGGCACGAAATTCAGTCATACAACAATAGGATCATCTCATCTCCCCATAAAAGATGTTTCTAATGTGCGGTTAGATATAATTGCGTTATCACATTTTTTCTGCTTAGAGATTTAATAGAATTTAGGATATATTGGATTTAGGACTTTTTACAAAAATAATTAATAAAGTTTGATTAATTGGCGAAATCAGATATTTTTTTTTTAAAAAAGGACAATTTTCTTAAACTATTCTTATTGTTTAGCTAATTGACTAATTATACCCTTCTTGTTTAACTATTGTCTTACGTTATCCTTATTGTTTCGGACAATTACCATGACTGTTAAATCGTAATAGAAGGGATGGAAATGTTCATTTTACCCTTAGGTAATTTTCTCTCTCCCGAAAACAAGGAGGAGCTTTCTGATGAATTTGAACACGCGTAAACAGAGACCAAGCACCATCATCGTCATAGGTGATGGCGGCTGCTGCAACTTCCAAGCACCATCCTGGCCTTCATCGAATCCATCAAGCCAGTCTTCTCTCTTTGCCCATTCACCATTCACTCTGGTGTGAAGGTTTTGCCGTTCACTGAAAATGTTCGATAACTGAAAACAATTGATCAAGAGAGAGAGAGAGATCGCCGCTCTTTGTCTATTCACCGTTCACTCTAGTGAAGGTTTCACCATTCACCATTCACTGAGAATGTCTGAGAACTAAAAGCAATTGATCGCTACCTTAGTCAAAACATGCTCCGCTCTACCAATAGGTTTTGTCGGTGGTAATTCTCTGTTCACTATCAAGAAGACAATGAACAGAGATGAAGAAGAAGAAGAAGAAGAAGAAGAAGAGGGGGAAAGAGAGAGGGAAGAGGAGAGAGACCGGAGAAGGGACCTAGCCAGAGGTGGAGAAGGTCAATGCCGGTTGTCGCTGTTGCGCCCATTTTCGTTGTAGCAACGACGAATCGACAGTCTCTAGGCAAAACAGCAATGGTCGCTGTCATTTTCGAGTACGACAATGCCAATGGTAGTTCTCTATTCACCATCAAGAAGACAATGAACAGAGATGAAGAAGAAGAAGAAGAAGAAGAAGAAGAAGAGGGGGAAAGAGAGAGGGAAGAGGAGAGAGACCGGAGAAGGGACCTAGCCAGAGGTGGAGAAGGTCAATGCCGGTTGTCGCTGTTGCGCCCATTTTCGTTGTAGCAACGACGAATCGACGGTGACAAGAGATAAGAAAACGGGGGAGAGAGAGAGAGAGAGGTTGGAGGTGGAGAGGAAGAACGAGAGAAGAGAGATGCATTTGAGCTACCACTGCTAGAAGTTGCAGTGGTAGTTCTCTGTTCATCGTCAAGGCAGAGATGAAGATGGAGGAAGGAGAAGAAGAGGAAGGAGAAAGAGAAGAAGAAAAGGGGGAAAGAGAGAGGGAAGAGGAGAGAGATTTTACAAAATTTAAATTATAATGATAAGTTTTAAATCATATATTAATATATTATGATAATCTACATATTAAATTACTTAATTTAATCAAAAAAGATAACATAACTTTTAAACTATATATTATATTTATTGAAAATCAAGTTTTTGAAGAACATGTATGTTTTTAAGGGAGAGAGTAAAGAAAGAACAGCCTTCAAGGATAGACGCTTGAACTGACCTCGAAACCAACAAGGCCAAAACTGACCTTCACAGGGTAGGTTCTAGTTCCAAGACCTAGAACGAACTCTTGTAAGGTAGGTTCCATGTTCTACCATGGAACCAAACCAAACCAGCCCATGCTCACTCCTAGTAGGAATGTTATTTTCTATTCCACCAAGAATGAGAATGGGATTTTGATTCTACCCACCAAACAATTAGATTCCGATTCCGATTTTGGACCCCTATTCCCACAAACCAAATGAACCCTTAATTTTAAGGTGACATGTGTCTTAATTGAACTTTAAAATCTTGTCGTTTCTAATTTTTAAAATTAAAAAGTTGGTGCATATGTTTTATTGATAAATAAAACTTAATATCCAAAAATATCTAACAACACAAAAATATCCAAAATGTGCATACAATTACCATTGAGGCTAGTTTCTACAAAAAAAAAAGAGTTTTAAAAGTTATAGGTTTACCTTTGAGGGATCGACATCAAGGGTAAATTTGGAAAATATATCAAATTCAGAAAAGAGATTATAAAGGTTTAGCTAACGATTCATATGAAGATAAAATTTAAAAAATAAATATTTTGGTTAAAAGCAATTGTATCGATATTTTAGACATTTCCATGTCTCTTTTTAGCAGATTCTAGCAAAAGAGGTCTAATTGCAACTAAGGATCTGTTTGATTCGCAGTCAGAATTGGAATCGAAATCCTCCAAAATTGGAATCGAAATGATCCATTCTCATAATCTGTTTGGTTCAAATAGGAATGGGAATGATAATTAAAATCAGCAGGAATGGGATTTCATTCCCAAAAGAAAAGCAGGGAATAACCATTTGGGAGAATGCCATTCTAGCAGGAGCATAAATTTAAAGAAGTAATTACAATTATCAAAGTTGAAAAGAAGTTTCAACAACCACCATAAACTTTAAGGGGAGGTTTCAGCAATTTACCCTTTAATTTATTACCTAAAATAAAAATCCGGTTTTGAGGACGTTACATTAAAGTGGGCCTCATTTAACATAAAATGTGAGTTGATATTAATGAATCTAATCAAATAAAAAAAAAAAAAAAACTTATAATGGGTCCCAAACAGAATGCACTTATGTGGGTCTAAATGAAATAGATTCATATACTTTCCGCCGTACTCAGTACGGGATGAATTTATTACCGCACAAAGAAAATAGAAGTTTCTCAAGGATTGAAGTGAAATTATAAAGTTTTAGTGCCCGAGGAAACGGGGACAAATGGCGGGATTGTTATTATTCCTCTGTAACACCTTCTTCTTCTTAGCGTTTCTTGACTTTCTTCATCCATACGATCACGAGTCACGACACTTCTTCATGTGCTACATGACAGACCCATGAGCTAAACTACCTCAACCCTCAAGCTACTCTCTCTCTCTCTCTCTTCCAAACCTTCTGTCTTTGATATATTAAGATCTCGTCCTTGGCCAATAATTAGCAGCAGGCCTTTTCAAACTCTCCTCTTCTTTTTATCTCCACCTCGCCTGCGGCCTGCTCTCCCATGGTTCCACTCTTCCAAATATGCCCGCACTTCCGGAATCCCTCATCTCCCTGCGAAGGTTAACTCGGCTCCGATCAACTACTTTTGCTTTTTTTTTTTTTTTGGGTTTCCTTAAACCCAAAATATTTTATTCTGATTTCGTCATTGAATATTTCGTTGTTTGATGATGATGAACAGGTGGCCTGGAGTGTTACTTCAATTCCGGAAGAACCAATTGGGTGCAGGTGACGATGAGGAAGAGGAGAACCCCAGCTCACACTCGGTGGAGTGCTACGCCTGCACGCAAGTGGGTGCGCCTGCCTTCCACTCAACGAGCTGCGATCGAGCCCACACACCCGAGTGGGAGGCCTCTGCAGGGTCGTCGTTGATTCCGATTCAAAGCCATTCCGATGATGGGGCGTCGCCGGATCGGAAGTCGCTTCGTAAGACAGTGTCCAACAAACGGCGGACCTCGAGATGGGTGTTCGGCCGGGTGCTGGACCCTCGTAGCAAGCGGGTGCAGAGATGGAACCGTGCCATCCTGCTGGCTCGAGCCATGGCATTGGCCATCGATCCTCTGTTCTTTTATGCGCTGTCCATCGGCCGGGGTGGGGCCCCTTGTCTCTACATTGACGGAGGGCTGGCAGCCATCCTGACTGTGCTCCGAACCTTTGTGGACGCGGTGCATCTTTGCCACCTGTGGCTCCAATTCCGACTGGCGTACGTCTCCAGAGAGTCGCTCGTGATCGGCTGCGGGAAGCTCGTCTGGGACGCCCGTGCTATTGCGTCTCACTACGTGCGATCGCTCAAGGGGTTCTGGTTCGACGCCTTCGTCATCCTTCCCGTGCCCCAGGTTGGTTCTAGAATCTCAACCCCTCATTAATAGTAATTATTAACTTACATTTTACATACCTTTCTGCCTTTCCATAAAAGAAAGAAAGAAAAGGATAAGGGCCCAATGCTCAAAATCCATGGACTGGTTTGACTGTGGTCCAACTGCAGTCCAAATGCCCAGCCCAGGATTAACCTTCCTAGCATTCCGCCAGACAAAAATACGAGAGAGAGAGGAGAGATCCTCTGTCCTCTGATATTGATAAAGCAAGAGGAGACGAGGACACTTGCCTGCACGCTTCACGAAGCGGCTCAGAAACTCAAACACTGTTAACTGTGTTTCCACCGACATGAAGCTGCTCAATCTCCACCGTCCCTTGACCGGTGAAGACTGACGTGTTTTCATCTCTGTTGCACTGACACCTAATAGATGTCCTGTGACTCCTGTCTCCATTCCAGCGAGAAGCGACGTGGAAATCCCGATGCACGGTTGGTTGGGAATTGAGGATGGTTAAATTAGGTTGTACTGCGTGATTCTTTGTGGGGCCCATTTGTCCAATCACCCATCGTTTTAATTCTCAGAACGGGAACATCAAATTCAAGAGTACGTCGCATGACGTGTCCACATCCCGATTTGACAACATATTACACAAGTGGAACTGTAGATAATTCGAACTTGTTCGCTTTTACGGATAAAATTAGCTTTTTTCTCTTTAGGGAGAAAAGGAGGCACGAGTTACACGTGGCATGGACCAAGGAAGCTTCCTTCCTGGAAGCGATGATGCCAAATGTACATAACCATCGTTTCAAAGGGCAAAAGCACGTTTCGATTTCTGGGCTGTACCCGTCAGTCCAACTGTACATTACCATCGTTTCGACTCCGGATCTCGATGCTCCACACTTTTCAACTTTTCTTTTCCACGTTAGCCTGCTCCTGTCACTCACAGTAGGCAAGAGCGAGAAACATGTGGTCTATTATAGGTTGGTTTCTCATCTCCTACGTGGAGGATTGAAATTGGATTTGGACCGCACGATATTGTCAAGTTTATGGGACCCTTCCCTCCTGTACGAAGGAATCCGGAATCCGCTGAGATGTATTATGAACATCTCCTAATGATCAAGTGTGGGAGATGTGCTTGGGGAGTCGAATGTGATGATAATTACTTGATAACAATTAATAAATAATAATAATTTCCCTTTTTGAGATTTAAAAATTAAAATTGTCCCCATTTTTTTTTTGTCTTTTGAAGAAGAAAGAAGAATTTGTAGAAACGCCACGCATCAAAAGCATGAAGCGACAGAACTCGTTCACGTTATGTGAATGCGTTACGTGTTCACATCTCCGCCCCACAGCGCCGTTGTGCTGTGGGTCTTGTGGGGCAGAGATGTTTACCTACGGGTGAGTCACACGTGGCTTGACGCGTTTAAATTCATGATGACGTGGCAGATTAGAATAGCTTATTAGGAAAAGTTCATTGTATGGTTGAACTGATAACGTTTTTCTCAAATTAAATTATGTAGAAACCGTTTATTAAAAACATTAAAAATGATGTTTTTTTTTTTTTTTTTTTTTTTCTGTTGGCACATGTGGCCTGTAATAGCATCTGGTGGTGCTGAATTACCTAAACATTTTTAAAGTAGATTTTGTCCCGATTAAGGTTGTATTTGGCATTCCTTATTTTAACTCCTTTTTATATAGTTAAAAACTCAGTGTTCATTGGGCATTTTAACAGCAAAAAGGAGATAAGTCCTAACTCCTAATGCTAAATGCAACCTAAACAAAATCATATCAAATGTTTATTACTTTACTAAACAAATGCCATTGATACCAATTATAACCTAGAAGCCCACTAAACAAAATCATATCAAATGTTGAACAAACTAGATTCAGAGGGTGATTGGATCAGGCTGAACCGGCTGATTAATGAGTTATTAGTCAACTCAAGTAACTTGATTAGTTCCAGAGAATGAACTACTAGTCAGGACTCAGGACTCGGCTGAGTTTTGGATCGACTCACCCGAGTTTCAGAACTATGGCATGATGTATCTACCTACTGTAGTAGAGGTTAGAGAATGACCACCATGAACCATCTCACATTTAATCAACAATAATATGTGATCATATACCATTTTGATTTTGTTGTTTAATTTTTATCTACTTATTGTGTCCTGATCTGATCTTGTATCTGACTCTGTAATTAATGCAGACAATTTTCTGGTTGGTATTGCCAAAACTGTTGAGGGAGGAGAGGATTAAGATGATAATGACAATCGTTATACTAGCATTCTTATTCCAGTTTCTCCCAAAGATCTACCACAGCATTTACCTTATGAGGAAAATGCAGAAGGTTACTGGTTATGTGTTCGGCACCATTTGGTGGGGTTTCGGCCTTAATGTCATTGCCTACTTCATTGCTTCTCATGTAAGTATTACATTTTACTTTGTTTACATTTCTGAACCATAACTTAGTTTCTTCTCATAATAGATATCATACACTTTTTCAATATCCCTTTCAGCTAAATGCAGCCTCTTTTTTTGCTTTTTTGATGTGTCACATAACAGTCCATAGTCTATGTCAAAAATTGCCTGATCCATCAACAACCACATTGTGTTTGGATCCCTATATGAAATTTGATAAGGCTGTGTTGTATATCCAGGCCTGCATTACCAGGTGCCCAACAGATCATCAGCAAACAACCTTAGGAGCTATAAAGAGTAGAGAAATTATGTTACTCCATATCTCTTCCATTATGTCCACCTAATTTTTCCCTTTGCATTAGTCAGAGCACTTGCAATTCTTACTTAGAATTTCAGAAGCAAAAATCTAAGGGTGGATTTGGATTTTCCAAGTGAATTGTTTTTTCTTTGTTTCCAGTTCCAAAAATAAATCAAAAACATGTGATGTGGGTTGAAAACAGAAATGGAAAACATGTCCTTGGTTGTATATGTGCTTTTTGATTTCAAAAGTTGGAAGGAAGGGTGAAAATTTGTTCTAATTTTAGAAAACACAACTTTGATGGTTTCAAAAGCATAACTTCTTTTATTAGAGACAAATTCCTCTTATTTTCACTTCTCAAAACAAAAACAAGGTTAGAGAACATGTTTTTGTTTTTCTCTAACATGGTAATTTTGAAAACAACATTTAATTTCTCAGGAACAAATAGGGGCGAGTATTTGGTTTATTCAAAAACTTTGGATTAAAATGTAATTTTAATACAATAAAAATATAATATACTAAAGTTCAATTAATTGTTTTTATGGTTAAGCTGAAATTTTAATTTTGAAAACCGAAACCAAAAGGTCCAAAACTAAAATTTTCTGTTCCGTTTTCCCATTTAAACCAAATAATTAATGCTCACCCCTAAGGCTAGGAGCAAGCAAAAAATTAAAAAAGTTGTCCTTAATTAATGTTGTTGGCAGGTTACAGGGGGTTGCTGGTACATCCTTGCCATCCAACGTGTAGCGTCATGCCTTAAACAACATTGCCGTAGAGATACAACGTGCAACCTGTCTTTGGCTTGCGCCAAGGAAGTCTGCTACCGGCTTCCATTAGCATCAACACTCATGAAGAGCTCTTGCCATGGCGATTCAGCAATTGCTAGTTTACCAGTGTGCTTAGATAGTGATGGGCCATTCCCTTATGGGATCTATGAATGGGCACTCCCTGTTGTTTCTAGCAATTCTGTTGCAGTCAAGATCCTCTACCCCATATACTGGGGCTTAATAACCCTCAGGTACGTAGAATGCTAAAACAAAGGAAACAAAATGCTATCCTATATATAAATTAATATTTATACGCTTCTAACACCAAATACTACTTAAACTTTCCCCTTCTTCAATTGCAGTACTATGGGTAATATACTTGAACCTACCAGTGAGTGTCTAGAAGTGATATTCAGTATAATTACTGTGCTAAGTGGCTTGATGCTCTTCACTCTATTGATTGGGAATATTCAGGTAATCAATCAGCTGTGATGAAATTTCATTGATATTAATATTTTTTTTCTTTATTTTAATTAGTTGATTGAAGCTCTCTCTCTCTCTCCATTGGAATCAACACTTTTAATTCCCCTTCCCCACCACGTTTTGATCCATCATCTTCTATGCCAAATTGCTAGCTAACTGCAATGGGCGAATGTTGGTATAGGTATTTTTGCATGCAGTCATGGCAAGGAAGCGGAAAATGCAGCTGAGGTGTCGAGATATGGAATGGTGGATGAAGAGGCGACAGTTGCCTTCGCGTCTGAGACAAAGGGTTCGCCATTTCGAACGACAGAGGTGGGCAGCTATGGGAGGAGAAGACGAGATGGAAGTGATCAAAGACTTACCAGAAGGACTCAGGCGGGACATTAAACGTCATCTTTGCTTGGATCTCATCAAGCAGGTAAGGCATGCAGATAAACCGAGTCTCTCAAGCCCATTCCCATTCATGCATCACCATTTCTCTAAGCTTATTTTCTAATTGGGTTACTGATGATCAATTGCAGGATATATTGTCAAACTAAATTAATTAACGTTAACCCAATTGAATATTTATTGTACACATGCATGCAGGTGCCTTTGTTCCACAATTTGGATGATCTTATCCTGGACAACATCTGTGACAGAGTTAGACCCCTTTTCTACTCTAAAGATGAGAAGGTACGTAAGTAAAACATGAAGAGGCTAGGCCTAGGACTAGATAATATTGAATACATACAGTTCATAGTTCATTCTCATCACATTTACATTTATATTTATGTTGCTGCAGATAATCAGAGAAGGAGACCCAGTACAAAGAATGGTATTCATCGTGCGTGGGCATATAAAGAGTAGCCAAGGCCTCAGCAAAGGCATGGTAGCAACATGCATGCTGGGCCCTGGGAATTTTCTAGGGGATGAGCTACTTTCATGGTGTCTCCGTCGCCCATTTATCGGCCGCCTCCCCGCCTCATCGGCCACCTTCGTCTGTGTAGAGGCAACAGAAGCGTTTGGTCTAGACGCCCATCACCTCCGATATATTACCGATCATTTCCGTTACAAATTTGCTAATGACAAGCTTAAAAGGACGACAAGGTATTATTCATCAAATTGGCGGACATGGGCTGCCGTGAACATACAGCTTGCTTGGCGCCGATACATGGTGAGGACTAGAAGATTGGTGGTTCAGCCACAAGAAAATGGGGATGATCGACGCCTTCGACAATATGCTGCAATTTTCATGGCTCTCAGACCACATGACCATCTCGAATAAAGCAATAATAATCTTGGTGTTCCGCCCGCAACCCCTCCACCCAATTCCACTGCTGGAGACCCAACTATATATGGAGCTTCATTGAAAATTAATGCAACTTGAGAATTGGAATATATATAATAAGATGGTTTTCAAGGAAATCAAAGCAATCCGATGTTATTGGTTTCATGGATAAATTCAAAAACTACTATATACATTTTATCCATAATCTTCACATGCAACCAAGTGCAAATAAATTATCTTTGATCTTTTACACAGGGGGTAATTAACAATGCTGGAGCAACCATGGTCCATATTTGTATTTTAGGACTTTGATCCACAATTACTCTTACAAACAGGAATTATAACTATTAGTGTAAGGGAACAAGCATGTGCAAATGGAAATAAAAGGTTAAATAAGATAAAAAAGAAGATATCTATATTTTGAATTTTTTATTATACTTCTTTATGTCCTAATTCAACGATTATATTAAAACATTTGGACAACTACCATTTGCAAGCATTCAAACTATTATGATGAATCTATTATTATATTAAAATATTCTGATTTAGCTTTCATGGCCAGTCTATTATTATATTAACACACCTTCACCTTATTACTATCACCATCATCATTTAAAATTGCCCACATTCACTAGTGAACCCACCAAAAACAAATTGCTCCTCAAGGACACAAGAATATTGGCATAAGGCAAAAAATTAAGGGATAATAGTATATAAGGGAAACTTTTGGGCCTTAATATCAATAAAAGTAATATTTAAAAAAAATATTATTTTTTTATTTAAAAGAAAACTTTCATTCATTATTGGAGATTAAACTACTATTATTGAATTTTTTAAATTTAATTTATTGTATTTTTGTTATAACTTATTGTTTAATTAATATTTATTAGAGATTAAACTATTATTTGAGATTATACTATTTATTGACTAAGTTAATATMTTTTTWGTACTTATTGTATTTTTTTCATTATCAATATATTTTCAATAATTGTGTATTTTTGCTATAAATTTTCAATAATTATTGGAGATTAAACTATTGTTATTTATCAAAGATGAGACTATTAATTTAGATGAAACTATGAGTGTTCAAGAGTTGGTTCGGTTCAGTCGTAGGCTATTTGGCCAACCAAATTGACTTGGTCAGGTTGGGGAGTTGGTTAGCTGAAACCGACTAACATTTTTGTGAAAACCGACCCACTCAAGTTGTATCGGTCTGGGTCGATTTTTTGGTTTGGTCGATTGATTCAAAAGATTTAAACTTTAAAAATAAATTTAATTTTAAAAATTATAGTGCAATTATTAAAAAAATAAATTAAAAAATTAGTTTTATGATAGAAAACATTTTAGACTAAGAAATATGGGAAATTTTCCACTTTTCCATATTAAAATTTATATTTAAAATATAAAATATTAATATATATGCATGATTAGGTCATTCCATTTTGGTTGGTTTACAAATAGCCAAAGTGAAATTAGTCCAACTTGGTCGAATTGGAAAAATGCCTTCCTCGACAACATGAATATATTTATCAAAAATTACAAAAGGAAATTATGAAATGCAGATAGAGTTGGTACAAGAAGATGGACGGGTTTTGTTCGAAGATGGCTCTTGGGTCATCGCAGATTCCATTATTTATTGTACAGGGTAATTGGCCTCATAGTTTTCCATCCAAGTTTTCATTTTAATTATATATATGGAAATGGAAATTCTATTGTATGGTTATAAATTCTCTAATATTAATATATACCTTTTCTACGCAGGTATTGATATTCATTCCCATTTCTTGACACCAAAGGAATGGTAGTAGTGGATGATAACAGAGTGGGACCATTGTATGAGCATACATTCCCACCATCTCTTGCTCCCTCTCTTTCTTTTGTGGGTATTCCTAGAATGGTAATTTCCTTCTCTTTTATTATTGATCAAATTGGAGCAGAAATTAATGAGCACCCCTAGGCCCTAGCCAGTGAGAAAATTTTCAATACTTGCTCAATCCCAGCCACATCTACCCAAGCTATCCATTCCTGAGTATTGTTGGGTTTAGCTTAGGTGGGGTTTCAGTTGGCAAAGTTGGGCCTTCAACAAAGTCTATGGCCGGACCTTGCTGAAGCTTCATTCCTTGCCTAAGGAAGGGTTTTGCTGGTTTCTGACTCTACCTAACTATCAATTTTATACCCCTACCTTATAGAGCAGAGGGATCCCTTAGGCTATGTTTGGTTTGAAGGAAAAGATAGGGAAAGGAAGGGAAAGAAAGAGAAATATATACAAGGTTTCCTTACCTATCCCTTCCTTGCATTTTCCTTCAAACCAAACATAGCCTTAGAGATTTAAGATGAGAAAAAGATGGATTTAGTGTGGGGAGGAGAGAGGTTACAAACATCAACTATTTGGAGATAAACCAAACGAGAGAGAGAGAGAGAGATGATATAGAGAGAAATTTACCACTCTTAGGTCTTGGCTTCTCTCTTTCCTGTACATGAGATATGATACTCCCAACTATGTCAATTATCAAAACTACCAACTGTTTTATCCTGGGATTTCCTTTCTCTGAATCATCTGTTACCATGGAATGAAATGATGCAGATCCTGGGCTGTCTTTTCTTTGAATCACAAGCAAGATGGATAGCTCAACTCCTTTCTGGGAAAAGAACACTGCCATCATGGGATGAAACGATGCAGTCCATTAGTAAATTTTATCATTCCTTGGAGGCCAAAGGCATACCGAAGCACAAAACCCACGACATTGGAGACTTTGAGGTATCAAATCTCTATCCACTTTCCTTTATATTTTACTTCATTATTGATCTTTTTTTCTTCTTCCTTTTCTTAGCCCAGTGTCTGCACTGAGTCATGTTTAAGGGAATTAATCTGGGTTAAAATGTTGGTCATGATCCGAGTCAAACTGAGCTTGGAAAATGGAATTGTGTTTGCCTGAGTACGGGGAGGATGAATTTGGTATCAAACAGTTGCATTCAACTGTAGAAACTCAGAATAAATAAATAAACCACATAAACAGTTCTTTTGGTTTCTCTATGCATATCTGTGTTTCATACATGATACTGAATGTTAGACATTGAAATCTCGTACTTTTGATGTAAGAACATCTCTAATATTTAAAATTTCCCTAACATTTTCCTTGTGTTTCTTGCAGTACTGCGATAAGTATGGAGATAACTGTGACTTCCCACATACAGAAGAGTGGAGGAAACAGATCTGCATATCAACTGTAATAGATCTTTTTGTCAATTATGAGACCTTCCGTGACACATGGAACGATGAAGAATTGCTTAAAGCCGCTTATCAGTGTTCACATTTTACCCAATTTGGACCTCAGGATGCTTTTAACATATAAAGCTCCCATCTATTCAATACTACTGGAAACTGAGACTATCCCTAAAAGTACAGGGTATTAATTTCGAATTTTTCTTCTTCTTCTTATTATTATTGCTTCATGAGACTACACAACGGGGGAGTAGTGCATCCCCATCCCCTTAACCCACAACACTAGTGGCATGGGTATTTGATCCCAGGTCTCTGCTACAATAAGTCAGAAACCCTACCAACTGAGTCACCATCAGTTGGTATCAGGCATCCATACATGATTGAAGTGATTCATCATCAAATTTTTTTCATGGTCATAAATATCACTAGTTGATAAGTGATATATAGCCATTCCATGTGCATGATCAAGATTTTATATCGAATTGGAATTCTGAGGTATCAAAGATTAACTCTGAGCCATAACGTGAGAGAGACTTAAAGGTAAGTAGATTTAACCACTTTCAAGTTAGAAATGGTAAATGAAAGCACACTCATCTAATCACACATACATTAGAAACATCTCTCCATGAATTTAACATACATGTAAGAGAGATATATTCCCAATATGCATAATATGCACCTGGATGCTGTGCTCCCAGAGCTTTAGCTTACGGGAGATCCTAGCTGACCTATAAGCCCCAACCCTTCCAACAGCTGGATTTGATCCCAAGTCTCTGCTAGGACTGCTACAGCTAGAGAACTTATCAACTGAGCCATTGGCATCATCAAATATAAATTTTCATTGGTTAATAACTAGAATTTTTATTTAGGGGGCGAAAGCCAATAAACATGGATGGGAACCAAAATATAAGTGGAATATAAATGGGGATTATGGGAACTTTTAAGATATAGGGGGGCCATGGCCCCCCTCCACCACTAGTTATATACAAGGTATTCTTTTACATTTCACACCATTGAAGCCCACTGTGACATATATCACTAGTAGGTTTACCTTTGCTGCAATTTCTATAAAATGCACTATAGATTTTGCATTTTGTATACTCAAAAGCAAAGTTTTTAAAACCAACCTGGATAACGAACTGGTTAGGGGTTCGGTTCCTGGGTCGAATGATCCGACCATTTGAACTGAACAGTCGACCTGTTCTGACAAAAAAATAAAACACAATCAAACCGTTGAACGGTTCAACCGCCTGGATCAGCAGTTTACTGACCAAATCAACGTTTTTTTTGCAAATATTTGGTTTTGGAGAAAAACGAAACCAATCACCTGACCGGTTCTCTGTTTTTCCAGTCCGACTGTCCGATCTGGTCTGATTTTGAAAACCATCCTCAAAAGAATGGTCAAAATTGTGATTTTATGGCATGTATGCCAGCCTCTCTCTCTGTATAATACATGTGCAACTTGGCAGGTTGGACTGGCTTTAATGCTAACTAAACTGAACCCAACAAGTAGAAGGGTCAGCCTGAGCTTAATTAACAGCATTGAACTGCCCAACCTTAAGCAGGATGGGTGGTCTAAGAGAAGTCAGGTTGTACAAGGCATTCCCATTACTTCTATGTAAATATACATGATGAACATGGAACCCATAAGTATATCTTTCACAAAGGGTCCTTTTGGTTCATGGGAATAGAGATCTAATACTAAATTCCAATCATTTGGATGGATGGAATCAGAACCCAATTCTCATTTCTAGAAGAATGGCATTCTCCCATTTGAGGGAATGGCCATTCCCTCTCCCTCCCTTGAAACGAAAAATACATTTTAATTGCAGTCTGATCCAAACAAGTGGGAGAATAGACCATTCTGATTTCTGTCCCAAGGGACTTTGATTCTAATTCTAATTCTGATTCCAACTACAAACCAAACGGATCCAAAATTGATGGAAGTGTACAACGAATGCATGCCAAACAAGTGCAGCAAACTAGATTCATAATTCAATCTGTGGTTGCCTCCCGTAATTAAGGCAAGAGCAAGAAACAGTGGAAAGTTGGGATTCACTAAGATCACATTAGCAGGATGTTGGCTGCAGGCGATAAGGGTTTTTCCAAGGTCTAGGTGAGGGAGATTCAAAAATATAGGTAGTGAATGTTTATGAAGTTTAGTTATGAACTATCAACCACCAGAGAGATGTTAAAACTTGATTGAATTTTACGTACGTAAAATCATCAATGCGGTCGTCTGGAAAATTTGAATACTCTTCTGCATTTTTCATTATATAATGTCAAAAATACCCATACCTTCTCGTGCATTTTTCAGATTATTTTGTAGAGTGAAATCATCATCAAAGAATACAGTTGCCGAAAAATTTGAATGTATTATTTACTATCCATGTGAGAACGTCATTGTAGGGAGATGTTTGGTTACTTGAGAATGATGTCAGAAGTATATAATAAGGGTATTTTTGCCGTTATATAATATTTAACTGACAGAATACTAGTAGGTGGACCCAAGTGTCTACTTTTAAGAGTTCAGGGTATTCAAGTGTTGCAATTGAAAGGTTAGGGTATCTATCTGTAATTTACCCTATGTTTATTAGCTTGCATGGAATCTTGTGTATTATTTTCATCTTAATTAATAGAAAAATGAAGAACATTTGTTAATTTTTAAATGGTAAATTTCTTAAACCACCCAATCTACCCTTATGATTAATCATAAGTTAATTGATTAACTATACATTTACTATTTACATATTACTACTTTAGAGTATCCCTAAGTTTTTTGACAATTGACTAGCTCTATCTCTATCATTAGCATCCGGTTAATGTTCCATCAAAATATAATTTTTTTGAAACACAATATTATCCTCCATCCTTCTTACGTAAGTCAGATAAAAATCACCATCCATAAAACAGGGCTGTTACCGGCTCTCGGAAGAGTTAAGAGACGATTGGTTGATTTTTACAAGTAAAAGTGAACAACAATGGATGCTTTAATATAGGTTGAATGCATTTGAGAAATTTTAGGGAACCTAAGTGGTTGGACAATAGATACCTAGAGGTGTCGCGGAATTGATTGGCTGGTGTCGCGGATGATGCCCTCTTGACAGTGTCTCTATTGCCACCATCCACCGGGAGACGTTTAAGGGCCGCCGGTATTATCTTTTATCCAATATCGGAGGCAATCAGTGAGTGCTCGGAGCAGAGTTGTCCCTTCTTATGATCAGAATCAGCTTCATGCTGTAGTTGCTGAGGTGTATTGCATGGAGGATGCAGAGATCAAGTATTCCACGATCTAGAACTGGTACGCTGTGGTAAGGAGAGGGTGGGAGTCAATAGAGGAGCCCCGTGAGGTCTTCGGAATACCAATCGGAATGGAATAATGCATGGGAGAGGGGCTGTAAGAGACGGCGATCTTCCTGAAACTTTTCATTAATTGGATTTTATTTTGAAAATTTAAAGAATTAGTAGAGGGTAAATTTAAGATTTTGTTTTTTCAGTAACACTTAATAACGATGTCAATTAATAATATAGATACTGTAAACAGTAAGGATCAATTATCTAAACTATAAGTGTAGTTTAAGAAATCTATCCTTTTTTTTTTTTTAATTAATTAGTGCTGTACTCTGTAACACCTACCACTTCCAGTGTTCTATGTAAAGAAAAAAGAATGCAGTCTGCAACCTACTCCTCCCGTCTTCCTTTTTCCTCTTCAACTTCAACCCCCCTCTAAACTCCAAAGAGCTGTGATGGAAATGTCATCTTCCAGCGATCTCCAGATACTGCCTCCTCATGTGGCCCTCCTCCCAAGCTCTGGGATGGGTCACCTGGTACCTTTCGTCCGCCTTGCCGCTGCCCTTGCCCGCCGCAACTGCCTAGTCACCTTCATCACCACCCACCCAACTGTGTCTCTCTCCGAATCACGACTTGTTTCTCGTCTGCTCTCCGCCTTTCCTCACGTCACTCCCCTAGAGTTTCATCTCCTCCCCTTGGATCATTCCACCGCCAACTCCAAGGACCCTTTCTTCCTCCAATTCGAAGCCATTCGCCGATCTGCTCACCTCCTCTCTCCCCTCCTCTCTTCCTGTTCTGATCCGCCTCTCTCTGCTCTTATCACAGACGTAAGCTTAGCCTCTGCATTCATCTCCATCACGGACGAGCTTCGTCTCCCTAACTACATTCTCTTCACATCATCTGCCTGGATGCTATCACTCTGCCTCAACTTCCCCACCTTTGTCGTCAACACTAGTACTAATCTCAGTGGCGGATCCGCTACGGCTAGTGATGACATTGAAATTCCCGGGGTTCCACCCGTACCCAAGTCATGGCTTCCACCACTGCTTCTGGATCTGAGTAATCTCTTCACGACCCAATTCATGGCCAACGGCCAAGAACTCATAAAATCAAACGGAATTTTGATCAATACATTCGGCAATGCAGAGCAGGCGACAGTGGCAGCGCTTAACGAAGGTAAAGTGGTGAATGGGTTACCCCCAGTGACCAAGATCGGCCCTTTGGCACCATGCGAGTTCGAGAAGGGTTCATCGGTGGAATGGCTTGATGGACAACCAGCTGGGTCAGTGCTGTATGTTAGCTTCGGGAGTAGGACGGCCATGTCGAGAGAACAAATTAGAGAGCTGGGCGATGGGCTAGTGAGGAGCGGGTGCAGGTTTCTGTGGGTGGTGAAGGACAAGAAAGTAGACAGGGAGGATGAGGAGGAGTTGGGTGGGATTGTGGGTCAGGAGCTCATGGAAAGGATGAAGGATAATGGGTTGGTAGTGAAGAATTGGGTTGACCAAGGGGTGGTACTAGCTCACCCGGCTGTCGGTGGGTTCCTGAGTCACTGTGGGTGGAACTCGGTGACTGAGGCTGCATGGAACGGTGTGCCGGTTTTGGCATGGCCACAACATGGGGATCAGAGCATTAATGCCCAAGTGATGGAGAAGAGTGGAATAGGAATGTGGGTTAAGAGCTGGGGTTGGGGAAGGACAGAGGTGGTGAAGGGGGAAGAGATAGGGCAGAAGATTGGGGAAATGATGGGGAATGACCGTCTGAAAGCCCAAGCGGCGAATATTAGAGAGGAATCTAGGAGGGCTGTTGAAGTTGGTGGAGGTTCTTACAAGGAGTTGGAGGGAATAATTGAGAAGTGGAAGATTAGCAGAATCTAATGAATTTCTGTTGCTTGTTTTATTTAAGTACTGTGTAATGAACCCAGTGGTTGTTTGTTTTATCGTTCTTTGTTTTTCACTTTCCTGTTGAATTTGGTTCAGCATATTATGATTTAGTGGTTTCTCTCTGTCCTGCTGTGATATTCAGACTCAGTGCGGAAGGATTACAAATACAAATATATAGATATACTCTTTCCAAATTGAGCCTCAGTGATATCATAAAATAAAATAAACCAAACAAAATAAGGAAAAAGAAGGTAAAAGTTTGCCTATTCTTTGCTCCAATTTCAGGGACTCCGCTCTGCAAACTCTTATTTATGGAGCAGTCTAGAAGTTGTTTAAATCCAATAAAATTTTACATAATGAAAATGGCATACACAGGGTTGAATGTTATGATGTCAATAAATTAAAAGGGCGTATCGTATTGTATATTTGTATCTTTGATTATATGATATGGGGAACGGTAATAAACAATGTGTTTTTCTATAATTTTTTTACTGCATCCATCCGTATTGATAATGTATCGGTGGCATATCAGTAATATATTAGGGTGTATCCGTCGATACGTTACTAATTTGTAACGAGCAAAATTTGAAAAAAATAATTTTTTTTTCTTAAAATAAACCTTCTTTCACCCCCTCCCCTGAGATGACTCTAAAACTTCAAACCCCATTTATAGAGTTAAATCTACAATAGAAACGGAAGAAACAAGTTTAACAAGTGTGAATTATTAAGGTTTTTAAAGATTTGAAAAATATTGTGAAAATAAGTAAAATTTTTAACTTTTTTCACATACTTGCTTGTATCTTTTAGGTATTTTTATGTTGTGTTATTTAATTACCATGTAATGGACTTAATGGTTGTTTATTTTATCATGATCTGTTTTTTATTTTCTTGTTGAATTTAGTTCAGCATATTCTGAAGATTTAGCGGCTGTTTGGCACCGTTGTCGTTTCCTGGAGCAATGGCGTCACATCAGAAAAAATGGTGCTCCAAGCCACGCCTCGGAAATCAGGAATTCATGGCTTGGAGCAACACTAAATTTGGCGTTTCCTGGAGCTGCAGCTTGTTGCTGCCCACAGGGCAGTGATGTGGCACTGGATAATGGGTACCAGTGCTGAAAACGTTTCCTGGAGCATTGGTACCAAACAGAAAAAGTTGTTGTTCCAGGAAACGTCCTACCTGGCAGCAACGATTCCAAACAAAAATAGAGGCACCGTTTTCTCAAAAAAGGTGCCTCCAACCACACATCAACAGCACCGTTTCAGAATAATCTGGAAATTCTTATCTAGATATTAGTCCAAAAATTGTTTAAATCCTAAAAAATTTTGGGGAAATATGAAAACTTCCCCTAGATTTTTTGACAGTCATATAAACCTCCCCTTAGTTTTGACCTTAATAGAAACCTTTCTTAACTTTTCAAGAAAATATGCAAAAAGCTCCTTTCCTATAATAAATTTATTAAATTACCTTGAAAAAATTTCTTGAAGAAACCAGCCAAATTTGCAGTAACTTTAACCTCCCCAACCTTAACCAAAAGAAAAGGGTCATTTATTAGAACATCTCTATAGTTTCATGTATTTACTTAAACTTGGCCTATAGATTTTATTTTACTAAAACATCCATATAGTTTGCAATCTATTTACTTAATTGACTTTTAATTAAGAACTGTTTGTTTTTCCATCTGAAAATAGTAACTTGATCACCTGAATTAAGTGAAAAATATTCAAGGGCATGGGCCATGGTTGTTTATGCCCCTATCGGTACATCATATAATAAACAAAATTACCAAATAGAGTAGTTGCTTGTATCTTATTATTGGAAAAATTGGTATTTTCATTTATATTCCTTTTTTATTAAATTTATTTGAATGAATGCTAAGGTCAAAATTATCATTTTTCACTTTCATCTAATGGATGGTTGATTAAGTAGGTCAATTGCAAATTATAGAGGGTGTTTTAGTAAAATGCAAACCATGGGATAGGTTTTAGTGAATCCATAAAATTATGGGGGTGTTTTAATAAATGGCCCAATAAAGAGAAAAAAGAAAAAAACTCCTACAAAACTTGATCAAGTGAATAAAGTCCTCTCTAAATCTTCAACCCACAAGTTGTTCCCACATACCCACCCACAGACCACCACCACCACCCAGTATTGGGATCATCTACCCATGAATGAAGGGAGATTTGCAATGCACAGCTATAATGTCTCATGGGCAGAGATGTGGGTAGAGCTCGTTGGTAGCAGATCCGAGCCCAATAAAGGCAGCATCCCTCTGGACCTCATCTGCTATCCTTAGACAATAGAGGTTATCCTTGGAAGGTTAAAACTTAAAACTGTTGGATAAATGGAACTTCTAAGTTCTAATCCCAAGGACAGGAAGAACAAGTTATGGATTTCTTTCATTCCATTAACCTTAAGAGATTAAAGGATCCAATTGAATAATTTCATTTTTAAGGAGAGGTTCAGCTTTTCACACAAAACAATAAAGTGAATCTGATCTTACCTGCGCGCTTAATCATCTGGTTACCTACCGGCGATCATTTCTCAACAGATAAACAATAAGCAAATTTTTTGGGGCAAATTTCTTAAACTACCATTATGGTTTAGCTAATTGATTAATATTAATTATTACCTTTCTACCCTTATTAGTTCTGACAATTACCATCGCCATTAAATCATAACGGAACATATGAAATGTCCATTTTGCCCTTAAGTAAAAAAATCCATGTAAAAGTTAAAATTATTTTGTTAAACCTCGATTTAATACATATGCACGGATTAAGCCTAGATGAATAGAGCATTCGAGTAGAGAAGGAGCATCGTCTAGGTTAAGCAAATTTTTTAGGGTAAATTATAAAGACCCCCCTGTACTTTGTTTTGCGACAAAGACCCCCCTGTACTATGACCGTGAGACAAAGACCCTCTTTCCGTTAGCTTTCTGTTAAAATCCGTTGTTGCAATATTTTTTAATCCCCATACTACCCATGCAATAACTATTCAGACAATTGGGAGAAAAACATTGTTCATCTACAGAAGGCTCTACATCAAAGCCTGAACTTGTAAAGAGATGAATTAAGAAAGAGAAAAGAAACCTAGAAAACAAAGTTCCGCAATCGCATCTGTATTCTCTAGTTCTACATGTCTTCGAATGCACCTTCCAATTGGATTGGACGACATATTTCTTTGAACACTTGTCGCATTTCCATTTTTTATCTCCATGCTTCCTACAGAAATGTTTCTTTATTCCCGTAAGATCGCCCAAACCTCTTGATGGATTGTGATGAACACATAAAGGCTCGGGGCAGACATGCACTCGCTTACGAACTTCCTTGCTCGATCGCTGCCTGAGCTTCCAAGGAAGATTGTATCCTTGGTGGTCAAGTTGGCAAGTTGCAAATTTTGATTTCGTTGGAACCCCTTATTGCAGATCTCGCACACGAATCTATTCGTTACCATTAGGGTTTTTGGCGACAGAGCGATCACCTCCGCTTCTGGATCTGCAACTCAAATAAAAAATAGAATGAAGGAAATAAACATGGCAAAGGGATGCAATTTTTTATATTAATTAGATGTTTATCTTTAATCTTACCCGGGATTCTAGGAAGATTGCGCTTTTTCTTTGTTGTTGTCGATGGCAGAGCTACTTGGTTGCCAGACGAAGACACATTAGCTTCTGCTGAAGCTGTAGAAACAATGATGGCAAATGAATTCTCCAACTCTGCATGTTTCCCAAAATTCTAGGATTCTTAGGAAAACAGACTACAACAGAATCTGGAATTCTATGTTTTTTTCGTTTTTTCTTTAAGTGGAAGAATAGAAAAGGAACTTCAATAGGTAACCTAGCTTCCTAGGGTTTCTTCTCAGCTCTTAAGTCTTATCTACCGGTTACAAACTCTGATATCTCCACCTACCAATTCCAATATGTCTCCAGCAAGTAATCTAACATGAACTAGAGCTTCAACAACCATTCAAATCGTCGTTAAACTCAAAACGCTTACCGGAGGAATACAAGAAGCAGCAGCAGCATAAGCTAATAAGGTTCCACTTAAACCCAAAATAGCAGACATCGAAAACTAGCACCACTTGTCTTTAGCCACAGCAATCTGATCCAGCTTCCTGCCCCAGATATCGAGTCAAACCTGTCGGAATCCTATGCCTACCGTAGAAAAATATATATCTTGAAAACAACCAAATCACCAAACAAGAAGGTAAGATACTTTTGAAAATTTATTAGGTTTCCAACATTTCTCATGCCAGAAATTTAGCCATTTTACCACGACGTACGAGAAACCGAAACACTTCGACAAATAATCCGATATTTCGGGGAACCAATCTACATGACGAGAGGGAGAGAGGTATTGATGTCTGCATCTACATTGTTCGTGTATCGTGAGGTTGGGAAAGATGAATAGTGTTTTTCTCCCAATTGTATTACAAGGGTAGTATGGGGATTAAAAAATATTGCAATGGTGAATTTCAATGGAAAACTAACAAAAGGGTGTCTTTGTCTCACGGTTATAGTACATGGGGGTCTTTGTCACAAACCCCATAGTATAGGGGGTCTTTGTAATTTATCCAATTTTTTATGAACAAATGTTTTCATTTTGACTTTTGAGTCTTTAGACTAGCAATAAAATTTTTAATGCTTTTTCTTTAAATTAAAAAATAAAAAATAAAAAATGGACTTTCAGATGTGAAGTACCCTTGATCAATTCATCAGATGCTTATACCAAGAAGCCACTAATTCTTATTAAATGGCCTTACTAATACCAAAAAAAAGACCTTATTTACCTGCTTTGTTGTTAGGGGTGTCAATTGGACTGGATTTGGTCCAATCCAATCTTAATCCAATGTGAATCCATTACAAATGGACCAGATCCAATTCAATCTAATAACTATTTTGGACCAATCCAATTCAATGTCTGGACCGTCTAATCTGTTCAAATTTATTTTAGTTTAAATTGGTTCCAACTCAAACCCGATCCATTTACACCTATATTATCAATGGACTAGATATTAACTTAATCTAAATTTATTACGGAGAGACCAAGTTCAATCCAATCTAATAAATATTTTCGACCGCATTGATCCAATCCAATATATATATATATATATTATTGGTCCGTCCAAATTGATTTTGGACTGGACGGGTCCATTGACACCCTTGTTGTAGTTGTTGGTTTGGGTCTCATGACATCCACTCAATAGTCAACATGGGTTCCAATAACCCTGAAAAACTGGATTGATGCAATTGGATTGGAATCTTTTATCTGTCTAATCAGTCCAACGTTGAGAAATACGTTTGTGGGATCCGCCTCCGCTAAACCGCTTGATATCTCCGACTCTGGAGTCTGGATATACCCCGCCCCCTCTTATCTTGAGCCTTTTGGGGAGAAAGAGGAGCCTACCATCATCAAGCATCAACCATGGTTTCTTCGTCATATATGCAACTCTCTCACACCTCCTTCCACATCCCACCTGAAAACCTTAGAACACCTCGAAATCAAATTGGGTTTAGTGCAACTTCAAGACCCATTTGGGTTCTTCGTACCTGTAATCCCATTTCTTCCTCCTCTTCTTCTTCATCCTCATATCATATTCTCCGGAAATCCGTTCCTTTGGCAGCTGCAGTCGCACTTCTCTTCTGGTCAAATCCAGGTACACCCCATCCGTTTCTAACTTCTTTGGGTTTTCTTTGGCGTTTGTTAGTGGTGGAAGTAAAGGAATGCGACTGTATATTTTTTAATTTGTATACAACCATGCTTTTACTGGTATTGCAGTCAGCGCTGGAATTCTGTCGGGCTTCTCAGGGATAGAATCGGTCCCCGGTCCTCAGCTACCACAAATCGATTTCCTAAACCGGTTTAATGGTTTTTTTTTCATCTCTCCCGAGTCCCAATTACCAATTGTATTTCTTATTCTTACCATACTGAAATGAATTATATAATGATTTGTAATTTCAAGGGAAGATGCTTTGGTTATTTTATGCAGAGGAGAACCAGAAGAAGTATGCAGAACTGGATGAAAGATTCAAATCATCTCCAATCCTCAAGAAGCTGTTGGAGCAGTCCAAATTGAACAAAGAGAAGTAATGTTTCTATTGTTGATATCTCTATCTCTGCCACTTAGTAATCAATCAATGCGGGTTTATTTATTTGTATTGACCCGCCAATAGCTGGACACAGTGCATATGATGGGTCGGCCACAAACCACAACTAACATGCACTAGAGTACAGTGAGTGACCATCTGAATTTTGTGGGGAAATTTCTCAGGAATCGCCGAGAGATTGAAGACAAGTACTGCTTAAGAGGGGCGGAGTGGGGTGTAGGAGTATGTTCCACAGAGGGTATGACAGCAGCGGAGAAAGAGAACTTCATTACAATGTTGAAACAGAGAGCTGAACCAAAATGAACCCAATTTGTTGCTTGTTGATAATGATAATTTTAGTGGTTTGTCAAGGTGGCGGCAAGTCTGCGAAGCGATTCAACTTGGGAAACACGTCTAAAGAACTTCTTTTTAGGCTTAGCATATCTCCTTTCCTAGTTATATCATATGAATGAGGGAGGGGTTCAACATACATTTCCTACCAAACATATTCCAACTCCAAGTTTGAAACCAATGAAAATTAACAGAAGGAAGGTTTGGATTGTTTTCAGGTTCAGCCAAATCTGGTGCCCAGAGTGCATTTTGCTAATATTTATGTTTTTCTGATTGTTATCAGTTCCTGCTTTTTTTTTTTTCATTACCTCTATTATTGAATTTGAAGAATGGAGGAAAATGAGAATGTATGCAATTGAATATGTATTGTCTCTTTGTCATCTTATGGTCTAATTTACAGATTGTTCACTCCATCCCTTGCATCTACATGGATCTCCTGAGGCTCAGACTGAACTGAGTTGAAGTTCTAGTTTTTATATTTGTATCTTTTTTTTCTCTTTCCGGGGATAGGGGCCCAAGTCTGGAAGTGGATATTGTATTTGAAAAATAAAAAGGAAATAAAGTGGGGAGAGTCCTTTGATGTCACTCCCCAAGGCAGGATTTGATCCCAAATCTCAGCTACAACTAGCCAAAGACCTTACCAACTGAGCCAATTGGCACCTTCCAAGCAGAAAGACCCTTGTATTAATGGTGGACAGACAGAGTGGACTTTATGTAGTCTTGAACAACGCCTTATATTATCCCAATGTTGAGCCTACAACAGCATGAATCAGAGAGTAAATTGTGGAATCATTTCTCAGTTTGTCATTGTCTCAGCTGGTGCCCTTACCTTCCGTTCCAACATCTCTTTGGATCCATAACCAATATCAAATGAGTTGGGGATCTTCAGTACTTGTTTGGGTTGAGCTTGTCTGCACTTGTATTCAATCGGTGGTAGGCTAAATGTGTAAATACCATTGCATATAAGACAACACATGAAGCACCCGCTTGGGAGAAGTGGAAGCAAATTAAATTTATGGACCAATTTCTATGGATATGGGTATCTCACTATCTTTTCCTTTTGTGTTTATGTGATCTGCCCAAATCAACAGTTTCCTCACATCACATGATAGGAGCTTCTCTTTTTCTTTTAGTATTTAGTTGTTAGTTGGGGTTATATTTGATTGTTCTTTGTATATCAATTGTTTCCTTGCATGATTTCCTTTTAACTTAATGTTTTATGTAATTTTGTGAGACAGAATGTGGAAATAAAATCTTTTGTTTCTGGCCCTGTATCCTGGTCCTGGATAAAAATTCAAAGCAAGAAACATAGCATATGTGAACTGTATTGCAGATATTTGGAATTAACTGTAATCACATTTAAAAACTTGTCGATGACAATTTTAAAATTAAACGGTTGGTAAAGTCATCTCAAGTCAACTTGAAATTTTTGACTCTTGGTCAAATTACAAGCTAAAGTTTGTCATAATATCCTATGCGAACTCATATTGTAGAGATATTTAGAGCTGTAATCTCCTTTGGAAAACTCAAATCTGGGTATTGATGAAAATTTTAAAATTGAATCATAATCAGTAAAGACAACTGGAAACTCCAAGGTGGTTTTGGTATCAAAGCCGTTTGTTGGACGCAACAACATTGTCTGGAAAATCGAGAGAAAAGTTGAATCAAGTTCTATTGTTTATTTCCATTTATTCCCATTTTAAGAACATGGGCGCCATTAGGTGGAAACTGGATTCAGTCAGTGTTCGAACACCTATTATAGCCTTGCATTGGAAATATCTCTCATGAAATAAAGCACAGAAGTGCAAAGATATTCCTAATGCAGGGCTGTAAAAACTGAAGCGGATCTCCATTAAGTGTTATGTAGGATAAAACACTTATCCAAAAAGTGACTTTTATAAAAGTCGAAGCAAAGAATTGCAAGTACACTTTTTCCATGAAACTAGTCAACCAAATAAGAAACCATTTGAAATGCCTACATGATGGTTTCTCTGGAGAAAACAGTTTTGATATCAAAACCACCTTGAATAATTAACATAATCACCCTATTGAATAATTAATATATTTGAACTTGTGTAATGTTATTAATTATAATCTTAGAGGCTAGGCCATACAATTAGGGTGGATTTGAGCCGAATATCTAGTTATTAAAATTTAGCTCGTCAGAAAAATATGAGGCTCGAGTTTGGGCTTGAGATTGATTCGAGCTATAAACATCAATTTGAATTTGACTTGACTCAAAATCTCATATGTTTGAACTCAGCTTGACTCTAACTCGACAAAAAGCCAAACTTCATAAAAAAATTAAGCATGCAAAAATTATGAAAAAAAGTCTAATTTAAGCATATAAAAACTAAATATAAACTCAATTAAATTTACGAGCTTCATGAATTGAGTTTCACTGGGATCAAGCTTGACTTGAAGCTTAGTTTAGATAAAATCAAATCAAGCTTTTCACGAGGCAAACTCGAATAACTTGTGAAAAGCTCAATTCGTATCCACCTTGACATAAGAGGGAGAGATGGCTGGGAGGTAAGCTCCTACACCTAATTGCCTAGTTGTTGGCACTGCTCACTTCATCCACATACGCGTCTCCCACAGTCATCTCTTACACTATCTCTTAGCTTCCCACATGGCCCCCCTACCTTGGCTTCATTGGCAAGGCTATCAACAGACTCCAAAAGTTTGACACTTGATCTAACATCCAATCTGATTATTCTGATATGAATGTCAAAATTTGCATTAAATGTGGATTTAATTACATCGATCCAATATAAATCCGAGTCCAATTATTATATAAATATAATAATGCATATGTATAGACATTATATAATATTATATATTAAAACATAATTAATTTTTTTAATTTTCATTCTAATGACAATAAAACGAAGTTGGATGAAGGGGCTTTTTAGTTCCATTGCCATTTATTTAAAGAAAGCTTTGTACAACATGCAGCTTGAAAAATGAAATAGCTGATGAAAAACATTTTTAATTTTTTGGCAGCTAGGTGCCATCAGATGCCATTAGGCACCATATAAACTGAATAGTGAAATACGCCTTAACGTTGGGAGGACATCAAAAAGACCCGTTTAAGCAAATATCATTTCAAATAGACCTGTTCATGGGTCAGGCTTCAGGCCTGACTTTACACTATGTCGGGTCAGGCTTTGAGCTGGGACCATTCAAATTTTGGCAAAAACTAGGCTCAACCCCAACCCATGAACAGGTCTAATTTCAAATTCTATTGGAAATACGCTTCCATGACATTGCACTAGTGCCATTTTTTTTCAGATAAATGGCAATGAAACTAAACACCATATAAATCTAAATCCAATCCGAATCTGATATTTCAGATTTTGGACAAGGTTTGGTCCATTTGGATTTAAATATTTAGATGGATTCAGATGTAGCTTAATCTGATCCAAATTCCAACCCAATTACAGTCCTAACTCGTAGAGGCCCATCATAACTAGAGGTAAAGTCCGAGTTGACTAGTCCAAGCCCAACTATACATCACTTGAACCGGAGTTGGTCCTAGGTAGACTTGACTTCTTTTCTTAATAATGTTTTCACATTCTATTTCCATTTATTTGCGTTGCAGTTTCATTTGCACTATGAATTCATAATGAGTATAAAAACTAAAAAGAGAAGTGTATAAACTGTAAGGCTCAGTTTGGAAGGAGTATAAATACAAATATGTAGTGTAAATACATACAATATAATACAAAATACAAGGTTTTGCATTCTACAAATTTGTATTTATATTCTTTCCAAACTGAGCCTAAAGGGTTTTATTTCACTTCGTTTACACTCCAAACAAACAAAATCAAAATTTGCATCAACTCATCTGCACTTCACCGGTGAAAGTGAAATTTCATTGCAAATAAACTAAACCTAAAAAAAAGGAAAATATATGGGATTTCATTGCAGCCTTACTACAACATTTTTTACCTGTTCAGTGTTCACACCCTTACTATGTTACTGACTCCCCAAGTTCGCCCTACTCACCACTCAAGCATGAAAGCCTGAGTCATGGTGGTGAATCGTCTGTTTGGGAGGGCTTTCATGCAGTGGCCCCTGGCATTGTAAGATAGGCCCCATATAAAAAGCCATGACGCTATGTTTTTTGTGAAAAACCCGAAAACTAATTTTTTTTTTTTTTTTATTATTTGGGTAATCCGTTTTTCTGGGCAAGTGATTCTTGGGAAAATGTTGCTCGAATACTCATAAATACAACATTTGGCTAGGTAAAACGCTATCTAGTTATGACACAAGAAAATATGGATATGATTTGAGTTTTTGGCAAATGGATAATTTACCCACTTGCTCTGGGGTTAACTTTGACTATTGGAGCCCAACAGCAGAGCGGAGGCTGTTGAGACGGTTTCTCGGTTGGGCACATTTTGGGCAGTTCATTTATTATTAACGCCCGTGCTTTGATATTTAGTTAAAATAAATTAAGACGTAATTACTAATTTATCCATTCTCAGGATAACGTGACATTCCCAAAAATTCTCTCAACAGCGTAGGCTGTTGACCCCCAACAGCTAAAGTTTTTTCGTCGCTCTCCAGATCTTGGGAAAAAAAGTTTTCCATGAGCTCCATTGTAACAGTGGCTGAACACGGGATTATTGCAATTCCGTGGGATTCACCCACTTACTCCCCCTTCCATTTTTATCAAAAAATAAACGAGACCAAAACGCCACTTTCCACTGAAACTAATTTTAATAACTTATTCAAAGCTGCTTACGATCAAAATCGAAACCTCTCCAGTGGCTCTAGATCTAGTGTAGCCACTTGTTTTTAATTTCTATTATCTCAAAATGCCAAAAAAATGTATATCATCATATTTAAAATTAAAAACTAATAATTAATTTATTTAAATCTTTTTCTATAGAAATCAATTAAATTAATAACTAATATCCCTGAGACGGACCGGGTCCGCCCCTCATCAAGGTGCTGAAACTGGCCCGGTCCACCGTCACCGAAAGGCATTCGTCTGCCCGTACCGCCAGAAAAGCGCGTCGCTGAGACAACACTAGCTTGAGCAAATATCCGAAATATTTGGTAGTTAGGAAATCTAACGTCCTCCAGCTTATGGTGTGGAGTACCATCTTCTATCCATTGATTCCATTCTCTCTTCGCCCTTCGCCCTTCGCCGAACTCCTCAAACGTCTCTTCTGTAGCACTCAGAGAAGGTCCTCTTTGAATATCTCCAAAGCCGATGAACCCAGGTAGCTTCAAACTCAATTTCGACAATTTCTCGTTTCTCAGAAAAGAATAACATTTTCTATGCCACATTGCAATTCCTCTGCAACAATGCAATTGTTCCGTTTCCTCTTTTTTTTGTTGGGTTGGGGGTTCGACTGTGCTTTTTCAACCATTGGTTTCGTATTCAATCATATTAGGAGCTTCAGATTTATTTATTTTTTTTAAGTTTTAACCCAATAATCTGAGCTTCTCGTACTGTTGAATTCGTCCTCACTGAACCCTTATAGGTGCAGCTCTGTTTCTTAATTTTAATTAATTTCAGCTTTCTAAAAAAAATACCCTTATAGGTGGCGGATTCCCGAGTTTTCTGAGTTGATGGAGGACTGGGTGGTTCATCATCTAGATTGCTATAATAAACCACTGCTTCTTTGTTTCTTTTGTATGTCGAAACTGTAATCAATGCTAATTTGTTCAAGTCTATTTAAACAGAATAGCGGAACCCTACAGTGGCATTACTAATATTTCAGAGCATCTTCTGTTCACGTGATGTAGATATCCAGAGATAAGGACCCCTATTTTAACATTTGAACTTCAGCTATAATTCTAATTATCCTATCAATGGTATTCTCCAAGGTGATTTTAATTATAATCACTATTAGAGATCCAAAATTGGGCCGCTATGATTTTTCTTTGGGTAAAGACCTCTTTACTAAAGATTTTATTCTGGTGCATGTATTTTGAATATCTAAGATAAAGTTTAAATACTTAAACCACGCCTTTGTGTATGCTGTATATCTTGACTACAGAATTTGTACCAAGTACTGATAACAGCTTGGTTATACCCCATATTCAAGCAAGGAAATCAATCACAGCCCCAATTCCTCTTTTTTTTCTCTTTCTAATAAAATTTTCTCTTTATTATAAAATAGAAAATCAACAGCCCCAAGGTAGATTTACTTTTAGACCCATCATTTTCTTTTTGTTAAGTGGTCCAGTTTATGTTAAATTATTTAGAAACTTCTAACAGTACCTACTATCTCAGGTTTTGCATTGTTGCATGTAATTTGATCCTTCAAGTATGTCATATATGCCTAAATATGACCAGAGTGTTAATATCCATTCTTTTGGTCCAAACTCGAATCATTCATTTACATAATTGTTTTTTGAGGATTTGGGTACTTGCATGTTGCATCTTGATTGGTGGTTCTGGTTGAGTTTCTTCTCATTTCTGCACTTGATGTGACATAGGAACCACTGGCAGGATGGGAACTAGAAGAAATTGATGCCAACCAAGGTTGCTGAGTATGGAAGAAGAAGTTTCCCAAGGATTAAAGTTGGATAGAAAATCATGCAAAAATTATTGTGATCAATCTAGAAGGATGAAAATATAATAATAAGACATTATTAACAAAGAATTTACTTCTTCAAAAATGGTGCACGGCATGTTAATGGGAGCTACAACAACCACTGGAAATAGTAGGTTATATGGAACTGCCCTTCTTAGGGGAAGTGATTGCAAATCTGTGAATAAAACCCATATTGCCTCCCAAGGTAGAAGGCAACACTGTTGGGGTCCATATGTCATGAGACATTTCCTGCCAAATAACTGCAATCTACCAAGACAAAGTGGATTGAAAGTTGAAGCTGGGTGGCTTTTTAATAGAAGTGACCAAGAAATGGATGCAAGTTCAGAGCGCAGTGAGAGTGCTAATGAGGACATTTTAGTTTTCTTTTTCCAGCTTGACTTAGCAACTCGAGTACAGGTTTGATCTGCTGTTTTTCATGATTTTGTCTTTTCAATTTCAAATTGGTTTAGAAAACCTTTGTACTTATGTTGCATGTCTTGATTAGCTGAAACTACCTACAACTACACACTGATAAACGTGGCAAGTTGATAGCTACCATAAACCAAAGACTGGCCCAATCAAATGACTATACTATCCATTTATTTTTTGAAGAGTTGGTTAGCAATATCTCCAAATTTTGTGATAGTCACTCATATTTTCCCATTTCTGAGGATGGGGACACAGAATCCTTGAGGAATCCAAAAATTTGGTGGTATCTTGGGGACGAAGCCCCAAAGCTTATTTGGTATTACTGATATTTTAGGGTATTTTCCTGGTATTGGCAATATTTGGGATCTATGTTGCATGGAGGCTTTAAAATGGGTAATATGTCCATGTCAAACACTTTTTTTCTTTATAATTAGAGTATTGTATTAATATCATCCAAAAAAAAAAGTGTGAAGGTCTGTATATATAATTTCTACATGGCTATAAAGCTGAAACCATGTACAAGATATACACGAGTATCTCAAAAGTTCCTATACATCAAAATTATGATCAAAGATTATTTACTCCCATTGCACTCTTGTTTAAATCCATGGAAATATTTAAAGCATAGACACCCAAAAGACCAACAATCTTTTGGCCTTCTTAATTACCAATGCAGCTGACTGTGATTTCCCATAAAAGGTTTGCCAGTTATATTCCTTTTGATATGCTCTACAAAAAAATTCACCCTTTAGGATTGAAACCTCTCACCTCTCAAGAGGCAATCAGAGCCAGTAGGTCCATAGCAATGATCCAGTTCCTCTTGAATTGCATAAACTCCTTTTCCTATTCTTGCCATTGCTGTATCAGTGTAAGATAGCTTTGATAACCTGGAATAGTTTTGATATTTTCGATAACTTTCAACATGTTTTGGGTTAGGTCCATATAAATAGATTCAAAATTTGTCATCGTTGATATCTTTTGAAGGGCTACACAACAGGGGTAGCCCATCCCCCAACCCAGGTGCAGGCGGGATTCGATCCCAAGTCTCCGCTACGACCAGCAGAAGACCTTACCGACCAGATGGTTGGCACCTTGCATATGTATGTATTTATTTATTTATTTATGCGTGTTTGTATGAATTAGCTCTTAATATTTTGTTTTCATCCATAAAGTCCTTCAATATTTTGTTTTTCTTTCCCTTTTTTGTCTTGTTTCTTATTATTCATTTTATTTTTCCAAAGTTCAAAATTGGCTGATGGTGGTTATTTTGCTAAGCTAATTATCTTTTTAACTTTGAAGTACTTAAAACTTTATATATAAATGGTTTTACATAAATTTCAAATCTGATATTCCAAAAGTTTGATCTCAATTCTCAATTTGAGACATGTTCCACCCACTACCTGTATGCTGCTTGCTTGATCATCTCCGTCAGTGTCTTTCTTGGATCACTTTTTCACCAGAATAAAAGAAAAGGCAATGGTGCACAGAACAGCTTGGAAAAGGATAGCAATCCTTTTCTTGATGCCCTTTTTTTCTTGCTAGTTAGGTAGCAACTCCATTAGTTTCACCGGTAATGTGCTTTAAAGAAACATTGTAAACATGATTTAACTGTTTGTCCCTCCTTTTACAATGTTATGTTCTCTAATTTCTTTTTCTTGTGCAGTATGCTTTGAATTTGGAGCAGTATGATGTTGCACAACAATTAAGAAACAAACTCACTGAGGTAATATCCAAGTGAACTATCTTGTTAATAATAATAATAAGTGAACTATCATTTTAGTAATTGCAATTTAATCAGAGATACTCCATTTTGGGGAAAAGGCCTATTATCTATAATTTTGTAACCTTAAAAGTACTTTTCTTTCTGCACATGACCTATTGATTGTGCACTTTCTCAATGTATTTCTCCTACTGTACATTGTTTGTTGTTTCCTTAAAGCTTTGCATTCTTCTCTTTTTTCTTTTTTCGTGGTTTTTTTTTTCTACTTTGACAACTAGAAGATATATCCATTTTATCCCACTATATAGGTTCATCCAACATAGATCCTCCTCCAGTCTACTCTTTCTAGAGCCATATCTTTTGTGAAAGAATGAGCTAACAAATCTTCCTCACCACCTGACCCAGGTTCTGTTTGGGTTTCCCTTGCGTTTTTAGAATGCAAAACTCTCTGGTCATTCTCTACTATACTCATTGTTCTGTGTTCCACATGGAAAATAAAATGAAAATCTATTTTTTCTTTATCTTGTTATCAATTAGTGTTACACCTAAGTTTCCTCTAATATGCTCATTTCCAATTTTATTTCTCATATTTCTGCCACTTATCAATTTTAACCATCACCTCTGACACTCATTTTATGGGTATGTCTTTTCATGATTTACTAGATTCTACTCCATGAAACATGTCTGTTCCTAAACAAAAAAAAATAAAGCATGGCTGCTTTTTTATCCAGAAACTTTCCCCCTTCAGTTTAATTGCTTGCACCCATCATACAGCATTTCTAAGGCACATCTCTTAAAATTCTCTTTTGTGGATACCAAACACATACCTAGCTAGGTGTTACATATTTCCACCATTTCCATGCTGCAGCCCAAGGTGCATTTGCATGGTTCTCCACTTTCCTCTTTCCATGTGGCATTTTTGTCCTAATAGCCTTCTGGCACATATCAATAAGACAATTTTATGTCTCACTTTTGTTTATTTAAAAGTTAAATCACAGAAAGTTATCCATGGTGAAAATGCAATGCGCAATATGTAGGGCCAGCTGTCTTCTGGTGGACACTCTGGATATTCCATGCCAAGCTTGCTTGTGGAGGAAAATTCCTTTCTCTGCAAGCCTCAAAACCATTTGCCTGCACAGATGGACATCCCCCCATGCACGCGCACCAAAACACTAAATAGGCATAGAGTTTCCACTGTACAAAGACTGATGCACCTGCCCTCTCAAATATTAACAAATAATAACTTGATAGATTCCCCTGTCAATGGATATGGCATTAAACAGAACGGAATGGTGAAACAGGATTCATGTAGCTGACCCCATATAAAAGGGCTTAGATGATGATGGGATTCTCCTGTCAAGATTTTTAGGGTACAATGTCCAATATCATTAAGTTGCTTTCTCAAAGAAGAAAAAGGGTTATAGAAGTTAATTCCAAAACATGCTTATCTAAGCTGCATATAGCAAATGAAAGAAAAAAAAAAGATTAGTGGAGAGTACTTGCTCTTCTTTGCATGAACTCTTTTTTACCAATCATCTTAGTACATGCCATTCTTGGAAAGGTTGAAGAAGAGATTGTCAGGCAGCGGGATGCTAAAAGGGGTTCAACCTCTAAGACTGAAGCTCAGGACAAGGCCATAAGTATTCTACGTTTGCGGTGAGTATTCCTTTAATCTGTGTAGTTTTGAAGGCAAACTGTAGTTTGTATTATTTTCAATAATTTAGGTAAATGATGATGCTTATTTATATAGTCTTCTTATAGATGGTGTTTCTTCTTTGCAAATTTAAAGTTTATATTGTTGGTTCAATAGAAAATTACTTTTCTGACTACTAGATGAATCATGGTAACTGCTTCTTTTATTGCAGTGCTGACATGCAGGAAGCAATTGAGAGTGAGAACTATGCTGTAGCTGCTGAATTGCGAGATGAAATTTCAAAATTGGAGGCAGAATCTCTGGCTGCATCAGCAAAAGCTCTGGCATATGAGAATGCACAGTATGCGTTTCGTTTAGGACAGAAAGTGAGGCATAAAATATTTGGTATGTTTCCTACACTTTGATGTGTTACTTCGAGTCTCTTGTGTCTGAGTGGGTGGATGCCTGGATGGTGTTTCACAAGTTGATTTTGGGGCATTTGTGATTGGTAGAGGTTTTGATATTATTTTGGAAATTATTATCAAAATTTGAGAGATCACTAGGTCATACTATATCAGGTTTCAAATTGCAAGGTCAATTTATCTTTTCTTTATCTATATCTATACTATATAAAAGCTGATACTTGCCTTGGGTTATGACCGTTGTGTGCAGGTAAAAGTTAAATTCAAATACAAAATATATCATATATGGTTAATACTTGCTTGCACACGTGCATAGCACATGCTCTTACACTTGTAGGTAGATAATAATAATTTATTGATCTATCAACTAATTAAGCAAGCAAGTGCTATGCAAACTAAACTGGATCAACTAGATAAATCTTGTCTGCCATCTCACTTTGTAAAGAAATATATGTAAAGCAATCTCAGAATGTTTGATATTTGCTTATATATAACATGTTACTAAATTTTAGTCTTCATTCTAATCAATAAATTTCTCGGCAACAAAAGAAGGTCAGAGGTGCTATTAAAGAGGCCAGAAGGTCAGCTAATGGGTTAGCTGATATGTTGGCAAAGCAAGGGACTTTCAGACAGGAATTGTTCTGGGCAGTTTTGTAACTTAAACTTTACTTCTTGGGGTCAGCACCCTCGTGTTCTGGGTGGTTGACAATTGTATTTTATGTTAATCTAATTCAATGAAAGTAACCGTTTCCCATAAAAAAATATAAAAAAAGAGGCCAGAATCCTGGGGAAAATTTTCCCCATATGCAAATGATGAGTCACTGACTCACTGATTAGAAGCAAAGCTGTAAACATCATATTACATTTATAGGTGGTTTAGCTCTCAAAACCCATACTATCTTTATAACAGAGGGATGTCTTTGTATCTGCGTGTAGATTAAGCTTAATTGTACTTGAAAGAAGGTCTCTTTCCTTAAGTATGATGTTTTCCCTAATTAATGATAAGATTGTTAGTTTTCATCATTGTTATACTTTCTAATGTTCATGGTCTTTCTTTGTTTATTTACTATGTTAGGCTACCGTGCTGTGGTTTGTGGAATGGATCCTGTTTGCTGTGAATCAAGTTCATGGATGGAAATTGCACAAGTTGAAAAGTTGCCTCGGGGGTCCAATCAACCATTTTATCAGGTTTAGCAGCTTAGCGTTTCTTTCTTTTTCCACTATATTTTATCTTGTGCATGCAAAATTACTGTGGACTCGCTTCTTCCATGAAGAGAAAGTAATGGTAATACAGAACTTTGTCTAATATCATGTTGATTTTGTTGTGCTGTACCAGATAATTAGTCTTTTAGGACTTCTTGGTGATGATAGTGATTCCAAGTTTCATAGAATAAGGTGATTAAGTGGACAAGTTGAAGCAAAGACCTTACAGTTTCAAGTCACATTTTTGCAGGTCTTGGTTGATGTACATGTTGATCCTAACCTCCTTGTGGCTTATGGTAAAATAACTGAAAAATGGAAATGCAAGATTCTTTTAGTATATTATTTTTATTTATGTGCAAAGTTGGTTGCACAATGGCCTACATTCTCTGGTTCACCCTTGTCTCTTAGGAAATGTTTCTTTCCTTGTGCAGTTCCTGAGGATAACTTAATAGCCTTTGATCAGCCAGATATGGTTAGTACAAAGTTCTAAAACACTCAAATGTTCCCATGAACTTCCCTCTCCTTGACATCTGATATGTGCTGAACTTTACATTTGCAGGACAGATTTGATCATCCCTATATTTCGTTCCTATTTTATGGAATGGACACAGCTGGAGATTTTGTCCCAATAAAGCAGTTGCGTGAGAAGTTCAACAGGCCCCGTCATGAAGTGCCTGTGGATCCACAGAATGAAGAAGATGGTAGAGAAGGTACTGAACTCCTTTATCTTAAAGGAGAGGCTATTGTTTGTGCTAATGGTTAACTGTAATCTGAATCTGTAATATCATGTATTTTTTTGTAGGATGAAGGAACAGAAGTTAGAACCATGGACTATATCCTGACTACAAGCCAGTGAAGCTCACCTGTATTGTATATGCTCATCTCAGTGTTTGTACATATAATATGATGAAAGTGAAAGTTCAGTATTACCATATTATACTTTTTGTGACACCATTGGTATGGTCTCCTGGATCATTTCAATTCTAAGCGGATGCCAAATTTAAAAGGGAAAAAAAGGTATTGTTTGTACTGTTTCTTTTTGGGGACAAATGCTTGCGATCTGGAGGGTTGCACACAGGAAGTGAAGGCAACGTTTTCAAGTTGAGGATTGGAAGGCATGTACACCTTATGTTTCTGCCTGCAACCTGATTCTTTTCTGGAAACAAAAATTTATGTTGGGTTACAATTTTGCCCCTAAGTCATTTTTCGAAGAATAAGTTATGAATCAAAAATGATACTTGAAGCTAATTTTTTATAAGCTTCAAAGAACCAATTCTTCGAATGAGTTTTGAAAGAAAGAAAGAAAGAAATAGTCACAGCAATTTTTATATATCCAAACTTTTACATTGCCAAGTCTTAACTATTATTGTCATCGTTTGTGCAGCTCTCAAACTCTCAATCTTTGGAGTTGAACGCTAGAGTTGTATTAACTATATTTCATAAAATGGTTCTCTTTTGGTTTGGATCAGGGTGCTTATTGTGCATTCACTTCTATCTCCCTCGACTTTAATACAAACTAGTCGGCAACTTGGGCAGCTCAACAACCCAACCCAAGTTTATACACGGGTTGGGCCTGAGTTTTTGGGCTACAGATTGGGTCTGACATAACTCAGGTTGGACTTTAAAGCTTAATAAAATGATGGCTGTACAAACCCGCCCAGCCTGGCCAGATACAACCCAAGTTGTTCTGGGCCTGAGCCCAAAATTTATATCTTAGGGTTGGGCCTAGGTTGACCTTCAACCCAACCCAACCCGCCCAAGGGTGTACCCTTAATACGAATGGACTTCAGTCGGGCCATATAGGTTTTCACTGGATATTCACAAAAAACGTAACAGGATCTTCCATTCGATGGAGGATGGTGAACGGTATCCTCCATTCAATGGATCCTGGTCTGCTGAAGACTCCAAGCAGCTAATGCTGAGGTTTGCAATTGTTAATCCAACCAGGCAAACCCGCCCTCTCTGTCACACACTGATTGCTTGTACACAAGTGTTTAGAAATTAGAAGATAAATGAACAATACAAAATGAAGTCAAAGCCACTTAAAAAGAAACTTGTTAATCTTTTCTATGGAAATCTACCATGGTTCTCAAAATTGGTTATTAGATTTTGATGAATAAAATTTTCTTTTCTAAATGATATTAAGGGGTTCATTATACTGGTCTTTTACAGTTAATTTTCCTTGAAATCAGGTTGTGAACTTCCACCAAAAAAAAAAAAAAAAAACCCAAGGTCATACCTTTTGAGTCAGAGATGCCTAACAAAGTTAAAAGGAGAAGACCTAAACATGTGACAGGGGCAGAGTCTTTATCAGGAAGTTAAGATTTTATTAGGAATTGGAATTCAAACTTCATCTTGAATGCTATTATTTATTAAATTACATCTACATCTAATCTCATCTTGGTCTAGGTAAGAACCTAACAAGCATTTGTTTAAGCATATATATATGTCCCTTTGAGAAATTTCAATCAAAGGGAATGGAAATGATACAACAATAGAGAAAATTAAATAACTAAATAAGAAAAGAATACAATAAAGAAGAATTGCCAACAAAGTCAAGTCAAGACCATATATAAAACTTTCATGAGTTGCCTAGAAAAAAGAAATCTAAACAAACTTGTTCATTAGATCAGTCGATTTTGTTAATAATATATGGGAAGAAAATTCTGCGAATGGGCCATGAGCCACCTACATTTCTTTTCGTCGGAGGTCTCTCTTTTCCAAAATAAAGCAAGTCCTTGGAGTCTCTAAATATTACTTTTTAACTTTTAACAAAAGCCAACTAAAGAGGCTCATCTCTTGCCAGGTGGCGGTGAATAAAGCCAGGCATGGATGATGATGGATCCTTTTGGCCGCTACTGAAGAAGCCGCGTGGATAGGCGTTTATCCTTCATATAGTTGATAGCTGTTCTTGTGTATGTACATAACTATGTAGATACAACTCCATAGAAGTAATGGGGTAATGAGCCGAATGGCCAAAGAAGAGAAAAAGAAGAAGACAAATAGTCAAAAGATCCTTGAATCAGGTGTGGAGATTGGAGACGGTCAAGAAGGGGGACGTACGGACAGTAAGTACAATGGGATGATGGATCTGCTGCTTAATTTCCCCCATGATCCAAACAAAAGTGGAGATTTTCTGATTGGTCCATTCATGGGAGGGAGTATCTATCCTATCCTAAGGTCACATCTTCGTACCAAAAGGCAAGACACTTGGCTGTGGCCTGTGGGACGGTGCAGTAGGTTCTTATTCTTTTCACTTACTTAACTCATAAAAGGGACGTAAAGTAATGGGTACTATCAGCCTTGCCTGCTTTTTATCCACGTACCTTCTTTTCATTTTTTTTTCAATTGTTTTTCTTCAGAGGATAAGAGAATGTTTGGTAATGGGTGCAACTCTGTTTTAGTTAACCCTATTCAGTGTTAACTAGCCCCATCCTTCGAGATTTGTGTATCAGTGTATGTGTGTATGTGAGAGAGAGAGAAAGAGTAGAGAGAGAGAGAGAGAGAAAGAGAGAGAGAGAGAGCATTCATTGAACAAGAGCATTCTCTGGAGCTGCAGCAAACAAACCTAATGCATTTACATCATTTGACTATTATATAACTACTGTTACAGATTCGATTTTTATAGGATTGGTTGAGTTAATGGTCAGCATAAAGGGCCATCAATTCGACACATCATTCGACCGGTATGTCTTATCCAAAGTTCATAACATAATTAAGATGTGACATCTCAGCTTTCACCGAAAACAAAGAAAAAAGAAAAGAAGACACCTCTTTTAAAGTTTAATCTGAGAATTTTAACTAGTTGTGGGTGGGAACTGGGAAGTGATCTTCGTTTCATGCAGCTCCAGAGAAACTCTAAGAGGTACCCAGCTTCACGTAAAATTGTTGCGGGAGTTGTTACCACAATCACACATCTGGGTCAAGCTAAATCATTTCTGCTTCGCAGTTTAATGGTGCCAATTCTGTCATGGTGTTCAAGTCTTTGGAAGGTTTAAGTTTCAGTCAAATTGCTGTCTTTTAACCACCACTAGGCTAGGCAAACACCAGGACAAGGAAGAATATAATGAAGGTGCTATTGCCAATTCTGTCGTAGCCTCTACCCAAACCCACGGTTGAAAATGTTGTATATCTGGGATGAAACAATGCAACATTATTTATGAATTATACAAGTTGGTAAACTCAAACACAGAAAATCAAGGGACCCGAATTTTGGGCTCAGAAGAGAAGAAATATACAAGGCAATCCCCTATGACGCACAATCACCTAACCCTGGGACATTGAAACAACTCCGGATTCCCCAGTACCCTCTATAAAATTTTCAAACCATAAAGCAGAGCGTCTCTGTCTCTCTATACTATGGCTACAGGAAGAGGAGGGTTCCCTGCTGGACATCTCTGGCGCCGGGGCCGTCTAGTTGTCTTTCCCCACCCTGTTAGGCTTCTCTCCTCAAGTCCAAGTTCACCATTACTAGATTGTTGTTTTGGAGGTGGGCATTCTACAGTCATTACCATGGTTGGAGCAGGGCACCTTGACCGCCTCCTCCCCCTTGCCCATCCACTTCTACCAGCATTCTTCTTTGCCAACCCTGTCTCCCAGGAACAACCTGTAGCTCTCATTAGTCCTTCGATGGTCTGAAGATCTTCATTGACCTCATGCCTCGACAATGAAGCAAGACCTGGCAGGATATCCCTCTGAAAGTCCCTCCTCTGCCTTCCCCTCCTCCCTTGGCCCTTGCGAGGCCGACTAAGCAATCGAGATGCACTTGCTTCTTCAACCTTTGGAATCTCGGGTGCATGAGGTTTACACCAGCGCTCTTCCACCTCGAGTTCTGTCAACTTCAATGTCATGGTCTCAAAGTAATCACTCTCATCAGAGGAAGACTCCTGATCAGACACACCCTTACACCTTAGAGCTACATCAATGTAACTCTGCAGATCACCCATGTTAGAAGAAATTATTTCTGCAAACCAGTGTAGAGTTTCCTTCAGTGGGGTTTCTGATGGCTGACAAATGTCATCCTCTGAATGCTTATTATTGCTAAATGATGAGATGGCAACTATAGCCTCAGCAGCAGTTTTGACAAGCTCCTCATGTGGGTCACCAACCACACGTGATGATTGAACAAGACTTTCAAGTTGGTCACTCAGAAACTCTCCTCCAGTAGGAATACCTTCCTCACTCTCAGGAACTGCCAGGACCTCCAAATCTATCCCAGTAGTACGTTTCTCTGCACCACACTGTACATTAGTCACTGATAGACTCTCATCCTCATCTGCACATGAATTTAAATTAATGCGATTTCTGGAATCATCCAAGTTGTTACTCAATCTCTTCTCTACAACCAGATTTTCCATGGATAGCTGGTCTCTTGAGTTGGGCAATGAAGGATTGTGTGACAAATCAATATTAAGTACCTTTACTTTAACATTATTTTCAATATCTTCAATTTCTGATCGATGATGACAAAGCTTGGCAGAGGAGCACTGAGAAGATGAATGGTTGTGGGAAACATGTGGTTTGTCAAAAATGGGAAACCCAAGAATCTTTTTATCACTTGGACTGTCAGCCATCTTAACAATCTTGGCTTCAGTATAACGAGTGCATGAAGCCAATGTAAAATCCTGAATAAAACTTGGATTTCGACCATTTCTAGCTTCAACTTCGTCAGCAAAATGCTGAGGACAGACCTGTAGAGAATCAGATCCAGTTTTGTCCAAGTTTCTGCTTCCTTTGGTGGTTGTGTCGTTGCAAGCTGGTTTGGCTCCAAGCCAAGGCAAGCCTCCTGGTGGATCTTCATGCTTCCCTTCTCCATCTATAATCACAAGATCTCTTTGTAGAACCATGTCTTGGAAGCCATTTGGAAGCACCATATTTAAGTTAATATCCTTCACAATCTTAACATCCACGGAGTCTGAACCCTTATAATGCTTTGCAAGACCATGGTTTCCAAAGTGTTCATAAGCCGATGTATTGTCAATACTGCAGTTTAGATAACCAAAACCAACAGAAGGAGAGCAAACCTGTAACAACTTGGACTCTGACTGGGACCCATGGCAAAAGCCATTTTTTCCATTGGATATTTCGCTTCCAAAACTTGGATTCGATCCAAAATTGCTATTAAGATGCCATTTGTCTTCAATAACCCCAGAGCCTTGATATGATGTCTTTGAATTCTTACTCATAGGAGAAAAAGGGTTGACACTTGAGAGTTCTTGAACTGCTATAGGCTTCTTCTGGATCAGGCTGCTCGTTGGCTTTCTCCAAGATGAAGCCAAGGATGATCCAGAATTGGCCACATCGGACTGAGGAATGCTCGGATGCAGACCAGGAACATGAGCATCTGCCACTGATCCAAGAAAGTTAAAACTCTGAAGATTCTGCTCTCTTTGAGAGCTTTCTAAACTATAACTTGTTTTTTCTCTCCATGGTTCTCTTTTACTTTGATCAGATAGAACAAATGATGGTAGTTCAAGAGCTTTTTTATGCTCAAATTGAAATGGTGCAGAGGGTGCAGGCAACTTTTCTGGATAGAAACCTTGAGGTAAAGACTTCAGGCTGCAATTACTTTGCCCTGTAAAGAAAGGAAGTATCCACATGATAGATCAGTTATAAAAATAACACCTCACGACTATTCTTTGGACTCAAACTCAGGTCCCTAATCAAAACTTATTATAAACCAATTGGGAATCTCTCCCTTCCCTGTTTTTCACCATTAATGAAATTTCATCTCTCGAAAAAAAAATGTTGTAAAGCAATCTAAAGAACTAAGTAACCATGTGTGTGTGTGTGTGTGTGCGTGTGTGTGACTGTATGTGGTCCATTATTTCAGGACCATCCAGCCAGGAAGAGAGGATAGAACATCTCCCTTGCATGTGACAGCCTTGGTGGTGGAAAATAAGAGTGCTCCACCATCTAACTCTTATTCAGGCAGCGTGTCTGCCACACATACACACACACATACATACATATAATGTCAGGATATTTCCTTACCAATTATCTAAGGATAAGAACAAAGTATATCATTTTTCACCTAATTCCTTGGTAACTACCAAATCATTTTTTCCTAGTTGCTCCCTTTTAAGAACTGAATACTGTGAACAAGATTCCATCTCTTAGCTTACTAGACACAACTGGAAATTAATTCTGTTTAATTATGTTAAGTTTATGTGACACCTAACTCCTAACAACAATTCACTTGGCATAATTCAGCTTTAAATTCCTCTACTTTTGGATTTCTACTTCATTGCATTTTGGCCCCAAATAAAGGAATCTGGATACTTGCAAAATTTGAGAGGACCACTTACGTCGCCACCAAATTCCATCCTATCAAAAAGTGCAAAGATAACCTATCTGGTAAAATTAATTATATACGAAATAATTCCTCTCAAAAGATAAAGGAATTCAAAAAGAAAAGGCAAAGTGATCTGAATTCTATGGGAATTAGAAATGCCATTACCAGCTTCAAGGTTAGGTGGCCATTCCTGTCTGCTTCTCTCATTTTCTGAACGTTGACTGTTTGATGAAGTTTCATTATCCCTTCCCTTCTGTTTATCTTGGAAGAAATCCCTTGATGAACCATGGAAGCCTGAATTTGGTGTGATTGGCAAGCTCTGACCTTTGATCTCCCCATGGCAGGTGACAGGGTGCAGAAAATCAACAGGAGCTGAAACAATTTCTTCCTCAACCGGGATGGGTTCATTCAAGTCTGCCAAACCATGGTGTGTGCTTTGTAAACATGAGTCAGATCTCAAAGAATCTGCTTGGCTACCAGGGTTCCCACCACTTCCAAGAGAAAGCTTCACATCACGGTCATGTGCAGCCCCAGAATTCCTCAGAGGATAATTTGTCACCACAGAAATCTCAGAAGCTTTTTCTTCTTCAAGTGGTTCCCCCTCTTCACTGTCAATGTACTCATCAGCTGGAAGTTGAAGGTCAAACATTTTTCTTGGAAATTTCTTGGAGCTGGACTCTGACAACTTGTCTTTTGAACTGCTTCCCTTTTGGGTTGGAGCAGGGCAAGTGTGTATACCGTTCTCTTTTCTAAAACTGAAAGGTGGCTGTGTTTTTTCAGAATCACAAACAGATGGTTTGCTACAGGCAGAGTTCACCAAGGGCAAGCTGGGAATGTGCCGTGTCTTCTGAGCATCTTCAGATGACAATTGAGATGAAAAGAGACTTGACTGTGTTGTTTCCACTGGTAATGTATACTTATGCAATTCTTTCATTCTAAGTTCATCCATCAAGCTCTTTTGTATTTTGTAAAGACGATGGAGTTCATAGACCTGAATGATACAAATAAATTTGAATAAATTGAGTGCTCAAGAAAACTGAGCCAATTCAACTAGACCAGTAATAACTGACACTGAATGAAGGTACCTTTCAGCTTTAAATTCTAGATAAAACTTAATTAATTACTCAAGAAATTCCATTCATTGAAATACAAGATATATATGCTAACAGGTGTCCAAGTCTCCAAGAAACTTCAAACACCAGATTACATGATTACATCATATATCTAAAATTTAAAACAGGAAAGGCAACTGATTTCATCTTGTGCTTACCTGCTTCCTGAATATGGATTCATGCATAAGCATTGTTTGCTTTAGCACTTCCTTATCGTAACCCAAATATCCATCTGTAGTAGGTCTTGACGAGAAACCATTGTAGCAATGTCCACTTTTTAAAGTTTTATTCTCGTAATATAGGGGCCAGCTACCACTGTTAGCATCTTCGTTAAGATCCCTCATGGAGTAATATCCTGGTAAGTAACTTTTACACTGTACCTTTGTTCCCATGCCTGCCAAATACTCGAAAAGCAGCACAAAGTTCCTTAAGAAATGAATGAAATAATTAACCATATACTTGAGAGAAATGAAATCAATGAAACATTGGAACTGCACTCAAGGACATGGGATGTTTTTTTTCTCAAGGTAGACAGAATGAAAAAAAGAAAAGGCTTTCATTATGATCCTTTGCATAAAGTTTCTGAAGAAGTTCTGATTAATGAGTAGCTAGAAGGAATAGCAATAAGAAAGGCAAAGTCATTAAGGCAAACAAGGAATTAGTCCAACTGATAATAATAATAATAATCTTCCTTATCCAGCATACCTAGAAAACTTTCACATTTAATAATTAAAACTTAGACAAAAACTTGTTTAACTAAGTCACAGAACTAGTCTTTTCCCACTTGGATGATGTTCCTCCTTTGGTAGCTCTTTTTCTTTGCTTATATAGGGTTCAGGAATCAGGAAGCAGTCATCCTGATACATTTGGGAACTCTGAACTGTTGCAATTATCTAAATTTCACTTACATGGTTACATCGGCAGATGGATCAGGTAGTAATCTTGACATAACCTTTGTAACTATGGTCTGATCTCCCAGCAATTTTCAATAAACTACTTTGCAGAATCATTTCAAGGAATTGAAAGATGAGATACATCCTAGCATTGCAAGAATCATTACCCTATGTGCGCCAATTGTTAACAAATATATAACCTATGATACCCAGAGCAGATACCTATACAAGCCTAAAATACCAGTCACAGACTCAGATGTGATATGTACCCAATACAACACAGGATACTGCATTGATTCTTCTACATATACTTTATAACCTTAACACTTTTAGAATAAGTAAAATGATATGTTTTAACAAATCATACCATAAAAATCTGTATGTCTCGGAAATGTAACTAGATTTGGTAAGACGTAAGCCTTGAGAAATGGCACTTAGCTTCAAAAATAAAATATAGAAGCATAATATAATGATATTACATGGGATAACCATATCCATATTCATGCCCAGAGATTTAGGAAATGGGAAGTCATATCCCTGTTCCCCATATTTGTGTCCATGTCAGTATCTATGTCTGAGTATCATAGTGCATAACCATCTCTCTTTTTTCCTCCTGAGCTCGTCAAAGAGGGCCATTATTATGAGTTTTAAATAAAAAGATATCCAGGTAATAAAAGATAATTTTCTCAAAATGGTTTCACTAGGCCAACAAAAAAGAAGCATTGAGGTTCTTGGGAAGATGTATCACCTAGACACCATGTATCTAAGGGTTCAGGAATGTCAGGCACCTTAACATAACAAGACACTCCCCAACACCTATTACAGATGTGCCAAACTGTTTTGGACAGAGAATGGTAAAGCATCTTGTTACACCATATCAAACCTTATTTTAATTTTGATCTGTCTTGTTTCTTTCATGAGTAAAGTAATCTGCCTTTGTGTTATTAATATGTAACTGATAAATCACTTTCTTTCTACATCCACCCTGATTTACAGCAAAGATCAAACAAACAAAAGAAGGTTCTATAAGACAGTTTCAAAGGGATGAGGGTTTTCAGAGTAGATACAAGTAGAATCATGTGTTATACTTGTTTTCTTATATTTTCTGTTTTTATTCCTAGTAATGTATATATTTTTCTTTTCTTAGTTAGTCATATATAGTTTTACATAGTTGCATTCACATTTTGGGACTTTTAGAGGTTGTTTAGAATTTCTATTGGCAATTGACCATTTGACACTTGTATCAAATATTTGGGTAACACTTTGGGGGAATTTCTCACCATTTGCAATTAATTAGCTTATTTAAATAAAGAGTTTGTTTCATAAGAAGAATTACTAGAATATTTCATTGATAAAATACAGATTGTAGTGAAAGACATAACATAAGAGGCCCATACAGTGTGGAACATTTGTGGTGTAGCCGTGTAGAAATCATGTAGGCCAATCACTCTACTGCATACTTGGGATAAGGTGTTGATGACAATGACGATTAAGATATATTTTGCATGTGTTTCTCTGTATTTCACCATGTATAATCATTACCCTAACTCAGACATGAATAAGAAAAATTTCAGAGACCCTGGATTTTGTTACAACAAAAGGACAATAACATCCAAAGATTTTTTTTTTTGTACGTTAGGAAATAAAAGGATTGAGTTCGTGCAAGTGTACCAAATAAGAAGAATGTAACCATTTACATGAACATGTGCAAAAGTTATGCATGACAAATAATATAAAAAAGAATACCTGACAGATTAATCTGTCTAAATATAAGTTTTGACATTGTTCTGAGACCCAAATAACAAAGGTGCTTGATACCAGCAAATTTTTCAGAATGGAGCACTCTTTCTTGCACCAATAATCAAGTACATATATGAATTATTTTAATTGCAATCTTTCTTCTTCTTATGGAATATATTTTAGTGATGTTGAAAGTAATGTCAGAAGTTCCAAATGAAAAATGCTGACTATTTTCTTTTTACCTTTTTTTTTTTTTGTTAAATGAAAGGAACACAGTGGAGGGGAATAGAGTTGTTCAAACAAAAACTAAGCACATGCAAGAGGGCAGTGAAAGCACACAATCATGTTACATTCCCTAATTTTCCTGGTTTGACATGAACCAATCGAGTTGATGTCTTCTAGTATTTTACTACTTTGTCTGAACCATTGGATCCTAAGAGTCTGAAACTAATTTACAACTTAACCAAAGAATACCACATTGACCAGTTTTCTGTAATACTTTTGTGATCCTAACTACTAACTAACACAATGATAAAATTCTGCCTCGCCCTCCCTCCCTCCCTCCATCCCCCTATATATGAGTCTGAACCTAAGTCATCCAACCCATATGTGTGGTGGGAGCATGGAATGGGATAGAATCATCTGGCCACAATTTTGAAATGTCCAAAGTTTCAGAGGATGGGTAGGGTGGGGCCTGTTGTGAGAATGGGTCTGCCTGAAGGAAAAGAAATTATGAACAAATTTATTCTATTTATTGAAGTTGTCAAGGCATTGCCTAGGCGCCCACATAGGCAACAAAAATGACAAGGTGGGGCACCTTTTATAGTATCATTTATATTGATGCATCTTATTAATATGTGTGTGAATACATTCCATTTTATACTATATATCATTTATACTTTGTTTTAATGTTTTACTATTGAAATTTAAAGATTAAAAGATTTTGAGAGGAAAAGAAAGAAAGAAAAAAGAAAGAAATAATATAAGTACAGAGGCTTCTTAAGAAACAATATAAGTATAGAGGCTTCTTTTTTTATTCTCCCCCCCCCCACCACCCTCTTCAATAAAAGAGCAACTGCTTCCTGTTTTTTTATCATATAAAGTTAATAACCTTCTTTAGTTGCTAATTGATATGAAATTGCTCTATTGAATGGATATTATAGTAGTATTATTTTTTAAATAATGAGATTAATATATTTAAAAGATTTTTTATCTTTTAGATATGATGATTTGCCACATTTGTAGAGGAAATTTAATGTTTTTAATAAAGAGAATTGCTATTTTTTCAATTAATATGCATGCTGAATGCTATCTAAAACTAGGGAACTAGCCAATAGTTGCTTCTTCATATTATAAAATTTTTATCGCCTAGGTGACTAGGTGCCCTAGTGTCACCCAAAATCAACTAGACACCTTGACAACTATGTGAGGGTCAATATTTAGAAATTGCATGTACCAAACATAAAAGCATTTATTGTGTATTAGTGTGGAAATGAAGGAAATGTTGGGAGGGGGTGTACCCCACATTAGAAAAAGTAAGCACTTTTGGAACAACCACATTAATATAAAATGCCCCCCCAACAACCACACAAAATAGATACATAGATTTTTTGTGACTTATCTCTCAAGAAAATCTCTTGAACAAAATCATTAGCACAAAAGGAAACTGGAAATGGGCTTGAGAAACCCGAATGGTAGTATGGTTGATTAATAAGCATTTCTACTTGCAAAGAGATACTTGGACATTTACGCAAATAAGGCTGCAAATGGATCAGATCAAATTGGATATACTTGTATCCAAGTTTGGTTCATTAACTTTTGAGTTCAAGTTTAATCTTAATCATCAAAATTAGTTTGGACTAAGATCAGATTTAGATACTGAATCCATTAAATAAATTAAACTAAAAATAATCAGTATATTATATTTTATTAATAAAAAAACTAAAAAAGAATTGAATATTGTATATCATGAACAAAATGATTTGAAAATAACTTATATGAGACTTAATCCTATGGGTCTTCAGTAAACGTACAACATTCAAACGAACTTTACTAATAAATACTAATAATCCTATGTAGATGTAAGTATAAACAAAAATGCTTAACTATTATTGGATTAGATCAGATCATATCTGATTGGATTGTGGTAGATCCATATCCAATCCAATTATAAGTGGGATGAATTTGATTCGTCAAAATAAATAAATAAATAAAGGGGCTGAATTTGGATTGCCTTAATTGAATTAGGTTTGAATTTGAATTCAGATAAAAATATACCATTTGCAGTCCTATGCAGTATGCATGGATACAGATACAAGAATCAGAAAATGGCACATGTCTGGGAGTCTGACTCAACAAGATGAAAAAACATGGACTTGCAGACACGTCTGTAGAGAAATATATACTATTAAAACTGTCAGTATTTTTGTTGAATTCTAACATCACATGCCCATTGAAAAAAAATCCAAAAGTTCTTTCTTGTTATGTAATTTATGTTCTATAGGAAAAATGGCATTTGCCATGTATATTACTTGTTCATTTATGTCAAATAAACAAGAACATAGAAGTGCCCCTCAAGAATCCACAGATTGTCATAATCTGATGCATCATGTGTTTAACATGGATACTTCATCCATCAAGGACAGTTGCAAAATGGGTATCAGAATTCATGCAATATGCATCACAAGTGTCGGAATCCATGCAACACTGTATTTAGGCATTTTCTTGTATCTTATTGTAACATGTTTCCAGATCTCAACAGAGAGGAGTTTCTTTGGAAATGATTATCTTGTTTTGATTTGAAATATCCATTTATTTATTCTAGATGTAAATTACAACATTTTATCTTTCTTAACAGTCAAAAAACAGCTCAATAGCTTGATGCATTGCATCTCAACCATGAGATTGGATATAAAAGTCCAGTTTACAAACCAAAGTAAATAAATAATAATAAAAAGCGGTTCTCATAATAGTATAAGCTTTGACATATTTTTTTCCTTATAATTCAACTCAGATCAAGAAAGTGATCCACTGTAGCTTTTATATCTTTTCACCAAGGTACCAGAAAATTTGTCTTTATCCATCAGCTTCAAGAATATATCAGTTTACTCATACATAATAGTATCTTACATTGTAGATCAACATCACAAACAGTGAAAGTATACATGCAGGGTATCCATAAAAAAAAGTATATATGCAGGCTTTTGCACTGAAACCTTCAAACAGACGGATGAAATCGAGGAAACAACAGATCATTACAAATTCCAATGAAGGTGGTTTTGAATTGTGTTTCCAACAATGAATGAACCTAAACTCAATTCAACATGCAAATTATTATCTAACAATATCACTACAAAAAGAGTTATTATCAACGGATGGCTTTGTACACAAGCTACGAACAGTGACCATGAAATACACGTCAGAACTCAGAAGCAAGTCAAGCAACAATGTAAGTCTGTAAGAACAGAGTCAAATCCAAATATTGAAGAAAAAAAAAGAAAGTAAAATTCAAGTGCCCAATAACTTATTGACTCAGAAAGCAGCTGAGGTGGTCTAGTAGATGGTTCTATAAATAGTCAAAGACATGAAATGCTTATAGCCATCCTAAAGACCCAAACCATAAAGACAAGCCAAGATATAAACAAGCTGAATGGCTCATTTACCCTTACCAAATCATGGAGAAGTGCACAGTTACAACAAGCTTATTTGATGTAATGCTTTGTGGATAGCTCAGATCAGCAGCAAACAAACAGTTGATAGAATTTAATATTTTATGAGTAGAGCGCATCCAACTAAAGCACCACATACTAGGAAAAAAAAAAACCAGAAAGAAATTAAAAAAAAAAAACTAGTAGACTTATTAAACCAGTCCACTGATTTGAGATTAACTATAAATGAATTACTAATAAAACTAAGCCACAAAGCATATCTATTTGGATAGTCAGGGTGAATTGGATCATCGAAGTTATCAATTAAATGTTAAAACAAAAACCCAATAACCAAATAAGTAATAATAATATTAAAAGGAAGTCCCAGAATTCTTTTAATAGTAGTAACAGCAGTAAAGAGTCCGAGTAGAAAATTCCCTCATTCTCAACAATGACTAAAAATATTGAATAGAAACTCCATTCCAGAACGCCTCCAGAATTTTTAAACAACAAAATAGCTCCAGAGACAAGCACCGGAGGAGCTCAAATTGATGAAAGCATTTAAAGTATAAGCATCACAAGTGGGATCACGATATACTTATAAAAAAAGGAGAAAAATCCGGGTTCTTTTTTTTCTTTCTTAAGTTTGAAGAAGGAAATTCTAGACTAGAAAAATTAATAAAAATAGATTCCGCGTGGAAAAAAAAAGGAATGCAAATCCAGATAAACGAATCAACCGAACCAAAACACTCAATCATCCATCAGAATCCATCAATAGGAAACCAATAGAAAAAGAAAACGATAGCAATAGCAATAAGCAGGAGTAGCAAAAAATAAGAAAAGAAAAAAAGATGCATAGACGCAATATACCAAATCATCAAACAAAAATAAAAAGGACTTTTGGACCCAAAAATAGAACCATTGAGAAAATCGATTTTGATCAACCAAATCATCAAACGAAAACAAAAATAAAGAAAATGGAATCACAGAATCTGGACTTAGAGCTAATAGAAAAGTAAAAAAGCAATTTACCTCAGACCCACATCCTCTATCACCCCTCTTGGAAAATCTGCCACGGCTTCAGCAAAATCTCGACGACCCGACAACCTCAAGGAGACCCAATTCGTTCCATGAAAATTGACAATCTTGGACTCGCACTCGCAGCATAAATGAAGCCAAACATGAAGCAGAGCAACCAGAAGAATCCCCCGAACCAGAAAACAAAGCACAAGACCCTAAAGAGTGAAAATAACGAATTGGGCATTTTTCTAACGCCATTGATGGAGCTTAGATCGTCATAAGGTCGACGAAAGGATGGAGATTTCGATCTGCTGGGGCCAGTCCCTGAGAGAAGAAGGGGATAGAGAGAGATCCCAGATAAGAAATCTTCATACAAACAAACGACCTTCCAAGAACAGTGACATGAAATTTGTCAACATCCGGTCTCCTTTTTATTCTCTGCTTTTTCTTCTCTTCTTCTCTCGGATTTCTTAATTAGTTGATATATGTATATATAATTTTATTTTGGGTTTTTGAGGAAGTGAAAGAAATGGGCATTTCTAGATTCTCTCCATCTTCCTTGCTCTTGAGTACAAATATTAAAAATTGAAAATAATAAATTAAAATAAAATAAAATCTAGAGTCTAAAGACACTTGCTCTACTGCAAATAGCGAACTCGAACATCAACCATCTCCAAAAACAGTCACTTTGTTTCTCTTTAATTAATTTGATTACTGTTCTATTTTTCCATTTAAAGTATTTTCTGATCCAATCTCATGAAATAAACTTTTTTGAGATTGGTTGAAACTTAAAACGGTATACACCAGACAGCCGTGGGGACCCATTTACTGTGTGATGAAGAGATTTCTTATGGTTTCAGTTTAATTTCCTTAACACCCCTGCTTCTTTGCATAATTACAACAGCAGGACTGACTTTGGAGCTTTTGTTTGTCTGGTTACTTTATTTGGTTGTCAATCTCCCAACTATTCCAGAATTCCCTTTTGCAACCAGCATTAGTTTAAGACTGATCAGCATTTAGACAAAAAGCCTATATTCTTTGATTTGTTCTAAGTTCTAACTTCTAATCAAAAGAGAGAGATATGATATGTGAAAAACTTCTGATCAGTCAACTGAAATCATAAGTGTGATAGTCAATCAAGTATTATTTATCAAAATTTATGGTTGGATTTTTATTGATCAAAACTCTTTTCATATTATATTTTTTCCTTATCATAAATTTTCCTAATAATCAAAGGTGAAGGTGAGGAAAAGGAGAGAGAGGGAGGGGAGGTTTCCACTTTCCAGGCACATATATATATATATATATATATGTATATAAATATCCTTTTTAATTAGTGAGACATGTCAAAGTAAAAACCAAAGTGAATTTATGTAATAATCATGGATCAGAGAAAGTAAAGAGAAGACTGAGATAGAGATCTGGGTCGGGGTCAAGCAAGTTTTATCTTTCTAGATATTTGGCCTTTTCTCAAGTCTTAACAGTGGTCCACCCACAATTGCTTCCCTTAGTCACCATCATGGAAAATGTGTGAAACCTTCCTTAGTGGTGATAGACTTTGCCAACCAGATCTGGGGGGCCCATTTCCCACGGCTTAGTTTTTTATTAATCAAGGCTTTGTTGTGGCACAGAACCCCAATAGACTTTACCACACATAACCCCTCTCTCTCTCTCACATCAATGGTTCTGGTTTGTTCTGGCACCCTGGTTAAAGATGTTGGGTTTTGCATCTATAATGATGCCCAATGTGATCTAAACATCCAAAACTGTTAAGCTACTTATAGCTTCCATTAAAACAAACCCTTCACTCTCTCTCACGATATGAAAAATAAAAAATAAAAAAGGGCAGCAGATACTTCAATCAATTTGTTTGAAGATGGGACTAAATATATCATTACCTGCAGCAAGGCATGTTTATTAATAGTAACTATTGTGGGTCCCACAACACCTCCATGCTTCAAAGTTCAAACTTCAATGTTTGTAGTATTCTAATCCTTCCTCGTCCTCCCCCCCTCTCTCTTGCCTCTTAATTTTGCACCAGGGATTTGAGATTTCTATCTCTTTTTTTTTTTTTTCTGTTGTTTTTCTTGGGTAGAATTTGTGGATGCAGCCCACCTAATCACACCCAACATTACGTATCGACACGTGTCAGCAATTCAACGGTTATAAAGTGGCACATATACTGAGGTAATACTCGTTCAGCCCACCCTGGATTCAGTTCAGCTGCCCTAGACGAATTCCATGGACATTATATAACTTGGACTTGGAGCACAAAACAATGCCCACATGAGTCTCCTCTCCTTCCCGGTTCCCCTAAGCCCCAGCCCCCAGGTGGCCAGGTGTGTTTCTTTGTGCTGAACCCTAGGCAAACGAGATTGAAGGTTTTAAGACTAAGAGTTCCATGCGAGGGTAGATCGGTAATTTTATCATTTCGAATAGAGATGAGATGTCTCGGGGGTGATTTTGTAAATTTGAGTGACATAACAGAAGGCATCAGTCAGATTATCCGTACCATTCTTGACTCTTCACAGCCTTGCGGCGGAAATTCCTGCTGCGCCCCCTCACTCTTCCCTCCCTAATCCGATAGTCCCTCCCGTCTGACGTCTCTCTCTCTCGCTACACTCCTCCAATCCCAAGGCGATCTGCGTCCATGAATCTTGGGTTTCTAAATGACTTTGGCTTCTTCATAAACAGATCTTATTTTCCTCCGAATAACCAATATGCCACTGTTCTTGCCGCAATAACATTATTGCCCCTGTCCACTCTGTCCTCTTGCGTCTTTAGAAGGGCTTCGAGTTCATGGCCCGGATAGCCCAACGGGCGGGCACGGCCCGGCCCATTCTATATCAGGTTTTGACAAATTTTTAAGCGTGTGGACTCGAGTTTGGACTCCAAACACTGGTTCGACTATTTTTTAGGCCAGGGGCTTTTCAGCCCGAGCTCAAGCTCAGCCTAATAATATTATATATAATAAAAATATAATGTATATTTAATAATATATAATATTATTAATAGTAAAAAAGTATTATATAATATTTTAAATATTATAGTATATAGAATATTAAATAATATACAATATATTATTAATAAATATATGCTTTATATATTATAGATTTTTTGTTCAAATCAAACTTCAGGTTCAAGCTCAAGATCTAGGTCTGATGGTCGGGTCAAGTTCAAGTTCAATCTGATATTTTTCTTTTTTATAAAGAAGCATAGCCTAATCTAACCCATGAACAAGTCTAGAGATAATTGTATCTTATTTATATTGTTATTTTATGTTATATTTTATATATAAACATTATAAACAATACATAAAATGCATATTAATATGATATTTTATATAATGCATAAAATATTATATGTTATTCAATATTTTATACACACAATTCATAGGCTCAGTATCACGCCTAGCCCGAGCTTGTGTTTCAAGCCTAGAATCCAAGCCAGGCAAGACCTGGGCTATACCCTTATCACAGGTGCATGGGTTCCAAACATAGCCTTAGACAATCTCATCTAGGAAAGAAAACTAGAAACAACTTGCATGGTTCATGGCAATTCATGCATAAAATCTGATTGATTAAATGCGGAAAACTCCAACAGAAGTCTCATGTTGCAAACTCTTCCAACTAATTTTATATAGAGTGTATTTGGTAGGTGGTGTTGCAGGAGACAATGTATAACTGCTTATCATAGGCTACGTGATTAATAACAAGTGAACATGCCAGTGCCAGTGTTTCGTATACATGGACGACTATTACACACAGCTCTGCTTGTAATAGATTCAGAATGATGTTGTAGAGATGCTGCGAAACCATTTCATTGCCATATAAACATCACATAGGCATTTTGATTTTACCCTACAAAAATGGTGTTTGGTTGGGTATCTAGTGCCTAATGACACTTATGTGTAATAAACCAATAAACAATTAACATTCTAAATCATGCCAAACACTTTACTCTCCGGATTTGCTTAAATCAAACACGATGCAACATCTGCCTTAGGCTCAGTTTGGAAGAAGTATAAATATAAATTTGTAGAATGCAAAACTTTATATTTTATATGTATTTGCACAATACAAATTTATATGTATACTCCTTCCAAACTCAGCCTTAGTATCACATACCAAACACCCTCGTAGTCAAAAAAGAAGGGAGCAAAACAGCCAGTAGCTTTGGTTACTGACTGCAAGGGTTGCCCGTTGCCCGTCCCATAGAACACCAAAATCCCCCAAATTATTTTGCAAGGTCCCATCAGCAACCAACCAAAACCTTACTTTCAAAAATCTTCTTCTCCACTCAAAACCCATATAGATAGTAGAAATCTAGTGGACAAGAAACCAATTCAATTGAATGTCTTGTGCCTCTACCTACCAAACAAATAAATGCCATTGAAAAAATAAACAAACAAATCATTACATTAGACAATTTACTCTTTTGGATGCGTTTGGAAACGATGAAATATGTAGAGTGTAAAACGGTTCATATAAATTGTAAAATTGGGTTAGTTTTGTATTGACAACTTTATCTTCTTATCAAATAGACTTTTAGCTATAATGGATGCAAACACGAATTCTAATAAAGTATATGTTTTTTTTTTTTTTTTATCAAAAGCCCACTTGAATGCAAATTTAATTATTTTTTATTGCTTTACTTTTACATCTTATTATCAATGTAAATATGCATTGGTCTGTCATTTGTTAATGTAAAAATATAATGTTGCCAAACACAGGCAAAAGTAAACCAAAGTGCAAATTTACCCTGAACCAGGATTTACACTCCATTTGCATCATTTCCAAACGCAGCCTTTGTCTCAATTTGGAAAGAGTACAAATACATACAAAATAATACAAATTAAAATGTTTTGGTCTACGTATTTATATTCATACTCCTTCCAAACTGAGCCTTTACGTTTGGAAATGTGCAAAATTGCAAATACAAGGTCCAAAGATACAAATATGGATTATATGCAAAGTTTTACATTTAGCATATTTGTATTTGTATTTATACTCTTTGAGTACAAATGCAAATAGATACAAAATAATTCAAAATACAAGATTTTTCACTGTACATATTTGTACTCCTTCCAAACCGAGCCAGGGAATCTATTACCACGATTTTGGGGTACAAATCAGATATCATAGGCTATGCTGAATTATCTGAAGAGCAATACTGCAAATGCTCTTTTTGTTTCTGCATTAGGTCGGTATAGTTTTGGGCAAATATGATAAGACGTGGTAGACTTAAACCATATACACATAGGACTCCACAAATTTTCCCCCGTGGATCGGTGGATGGTGATGACAAGGCCAACATATGATGAGGCTGTCCCACCATTTAGCTAGAAGAGAGTTCCTACTCATCAATGGATCGACTAGAGTAGTGGTCCTAACCTAAGTCTAAAGCAAATGCTTATATTCAAACAGGATGAATGCTAGCAAACAACAGCATCACATGATTTTTCACATAGAGT